TTATGCTGTTGTTATCTTTTTAGTTCACCACGTACGATTTCTTGAGACGATTAGCGGGAACGTGTCTTTTCAAACCATTCAAAGGGACCATTACTATTTACCGAACTATCAATAAGATTTTTGAAGACAAATATTGAAGGAAATTTCGCGCTTGCTATTAGCATATTGATGATTCTATATTTCTCTAACTTCAAAACAGGACCCTTATCGTCAAGAGTACCTCCGGGTACGGTTTACCCTGTATAAAAGTTTTTCTTATTATTAATAAATGGTTGCCCTTCATCGGTGAAGTGTTACAATTAGGTTGAAATCTGTGCTCAATCTGCTGTTTGCAAGAAAAAGTAAAGAAAAACTCTTTTCTTGCCTGACTCATGTCAGCCATTCTAAGCCGTGTAGTTGTGTCTTTACATTTTCTGCACAAAGAAAATCTAATTTCCTTTGCCATCTCAAAAGCCACGAGTTACAATTTCAAAGACAGACCTATGTTGTTGGTGGACTGAACTGCGTAATTACTGAAACTATTATGACATTTTGGATTTTTCAAGGTACTTTTGAAATTTTTTGACAAACTTAAAATGCGAAAAGTTAAGATGGTTACAAGATCAAAAGACTTTGTATAAACTAACAGGTTTTTGTTGAAGGCTAAAAACAGGATATGGTTTCGTATCATGCTTCGAGATCTATTTGCAACTTCAAAAGTCTTGGGCATGTAACAAGTTCTTGTAACGATAGAATAGAAGTGAATGTCATGCCTAGAATCTTTTGTTGCCGCTAGGAAGGGAAGGAAAACTATCAGTAATTGGGATGACATTTCGATATAGGCTATGAGTAAGTCCTGTTAAGAGAATTTCATTAGAGAAAAACAACGAATTATTTTGTTAGCAATGAGAATTTGCTTTCTGGGTGATTCCTGTAATTTGAAACAGACGATTGAAGACAGATTGGGAATTTTTGGTTAACCAAGAAATGAAAAGCCCTATTTTCAAAATATTTGCCCTCAAGCCTCGATTTAAATTTGGAAATTCCAAGAAATTATCAAACAAGGGGCATTTTTAGCAGAAGCTGGTATCCAGTTGATTTTGGGTATTTCGACCATGCTGATTACGAATTTAGTGGATCCCAAGCGAAATTCACCCATTCAATTAAGGGCTTAATTTGTATATCAAATTGGCTGCCAGTCGAAATCTTCAAAATGCTGCCAAGAAAATCCATGACACTGCATTCGACTAAGATATTCACCAATATTGCCGTTATGAGGATAGAACTTGGTAAAATGGTGTACAGCAACATAATCTACACAACAGGGAACTTTATAAATTTTTCATTACATCCATGACGTCATTATGATGTCATAATTGAAGAAAATGGCAGAATTTGTAAACTATTGGTAATATCTCAGTTTTAATTATTAAGTCCTTTTATAATGTCTCTAAAAATCAGAGATATGATTTCCATCTAATCTTATTATCTATATCGCTTATTCATGATATATTTTTACCAGTTTGTCATTGTTTCATTTAAACCCCTAATTACTGGTGCAAATACTCTAAAATGTCTTGAATTTACTTTTAAAGATAAAGAGAACCAATTTCGGCCAGAAAAGTTTATCTATTACATTTTCTGTGATTTGCATGACGTCATAAGTTTGATAGCGTCATCAACTTTAAAATTGTTCACGCCTTCAAAAAATGAAAAGGTCATGCAACATTTGAAAGTTCTTGTCGAAATCAGTCGAATGGTGGCACTCTCGATTGTCTATGATCCTCTGGCAAAAATTAAACGCACTTATTTAGTTTTCTAGCTTATTTAGTTTACCATTTTGAAGAAAATCTTTCAGCTTTATTTAGCCCATTTTATTTTAGAAGAAATGGCAATCTTTCAGCACTTCATTTTTCGAACTAACGACAAGTTTATCTATGACATTTTCTCAAGTGGCTGAACACGTTCCTTTTGTACGTCAAGTTCTACTATGCTGCATTTTTGTAAAGCTGGAATCTAATCGATTATATTCAGTTGAATTTGTTGATTTCAGCTTTGTTGCATATGCCATACAACTTGCTACATTACAGGCCTTGCGCAAACTAACACTATCTTCTTACTAATAATTCTTGAGAACTCTTGAGAAAAGAACAGTTGTAGTTTCACTTAAAACTTCATTGCTAATCTTTAAATTCTTCCATACTTGTCGAGAATTATTGAGGATATTTGGCATGTTGATATGTGCAAGGCCTGCAGTTTGAAGCTAGACCCTTCATTAGAGTTAAAGCAGTGTCTGATCTAAATCTTAAAGCAAACTAAGCTATTTGAGATTTTATTAAAAATACTTTTACATACGAGTTGGTGTAGTACGTCAATTCTCATCGTTGAGACAGGTGTCATCTTCTGTAGCACTTTTGCATTTGCATAAAGTCTGTAGCACTTCTGTAGCACTGTGCACGGTAGATTTGCCTTTCTACATCTACAGCGTTTGTTTCTGCATCGTGTGTTACATCCACAAAAGATCATCTCCAGAGAAGCAGTAGGGCTGGCTTCTGCTGTCATTAGAATTGGCTTTAATCGATTTTTAGAAAGCTCCCATCCGAAATCTGTAGCTGATGGTAAGTCTTGATGCGGTGATCCAGCTTGTTTCCATCCATTCGTTCGTTCGTTCGTTTCCATCCACTGTGCATTCGTTCACAGTGGGACACCAGAATTATGAGTACATCTGCATCTCTAGCAACAACTACTACTGTATTGCAGGTGGCATCGATAGCATGAAGGACAAGTCTGGTGTCTGCTTCCTCATGAAGAAGTCTGCACATAGTTGATTCGATCTTGGAAGAAGCTCGTTTAGACGAGGGGCTAGATGTTCCAAAAAATTGAAGACCAAGACCTATCTATCTTGAAGTGAAAACCAGGTAAAGGCCTTTGATAAAATTTAAGATTAATGTCGGCATTGTTATTATTGATAGTGTTACAGCAAAGATAATTAGGCGATTCATGTCAATTGGTGAGATATGGAAGGGGTTCAGTATTCTTTGATTATACACAAGAGTGAAGGAAGATGACCTAGCAAAAAAGAGCGAAATTCTACGCAGCAAAAATGGATGACATAACTCCTAACATCACCGAGGAGTCACTTTTTCTAAGAAGCATCAACCAATGCAGCTGTTGAACAAGCTGAAGCATTTGAATTTAAAACGATTATTTCCAAATGTTGGGAGGGCGGGACACGTCCTTCGTATTTCGCATCAGCAGAATCGACTTTGTATTTCGTCTAAATTCGATGAGAAAATGTTGGGGGAGGGGTAATATTTTGGCAATGTATTTTTTGTGATGTAATCCTATGATTTTCAAAGTGCCTAGTTTCAAACAAAAGTTAGTCATTGGCGTTCCCTTCGGATAAAATTGGCGTTCCCTGTTGGTAAAAGGGCGTTTTTCTGATGGTTAAAAGGGCGTGGCTTAAACTTTTTTGGTTTGTCCTCCCAAGGGCTTAGTAGCTGGAGCCGCCATTGCTTGCCAGAACCTTATGTGGTTCAGAGGGTCCTTTGATTATACCTTGACGTTTTCTGACCGGCAGCCTTTTTAAATATGCAAATTAAGTCTTTAAATTAGCGAATTTCGCTTGGGATCTGCCAAAATTCGTAATCAGCATGGTCGCAATACCCAAAATAGACTGAATCTCAGCTTCTACCCCAAAATGCCTCTTGATCTGTTTCTAAGAACTATTTTAGAGAAATGGAGCCAGTCTATAACATTTAACTGTCGCATATGGAGAAATACTACGTTATGTTCGGGTGATGTTAATAAACTGTCAGGATAGAATTTATATCTAGTGTTACATGTTGTTGTGGTAAATATCAGAAGCCGTGGAAAAACTATTAATCGGTATCGTTTGAAATTTTTTATCCATTGAGTAATCGCATTTGATTATTTGTCTTAAGATTTTACCCATCTTATGTTGGAGCTCTGCAACTTCAGGGTTTGAATCCAGTTTAATTTACTGTTATGAAGAAATGTGGTAGATTACAATTAATTTTGTTACTTTATGAAGCATAAAATTTTGTATTGGATTAAAAAAATACGGGGAAGGTTCAATTTGCTCCTTTTGGGACGTTTTGAGCATCATAATTTTGACCGATTGAAGAAAAGCCTTCTGTTTTCAAAAAGGTTGTCTTATGCGTGGGTTGGGCAAGAAATGGCTTTTGACGTTTCCTATATTAGACAAACCAACTAATTCCGCTAAATTATAATACTGCTAAATGGTGCCTTCTACCTGAAGTACGGTTCGTCCTCTAACTGATTTGTTTGTTAAAATTCTCTTTTAGATTCTCTCTGGTTTTTGAAACGCAAAGAAACGTTCCATCAGTTCATCACCCAAAAAACGCATTTCTTACCCAAATGTACCCGAAGCATCCCTTTCCTAAATATACAAGAGCACATCCCCGGGGTGTATTGTAGTAAACAGAGATATTCATATGAAATTCTGAATATAGTGCTAAATTCTTGACGACATTTCTCAAAACCTGTAAAATAAATCTTTATAGAGAAGACTGAAATATAATGGCAGTCAATAGAACGAATAAGTAGAAGCTGGGGGTTATCTTTAAAATGCTTTTTACGCAATCCTGCTCCCCTTGCCCGTTGGTTGTTCCGGCGTCCCTGCCCGGGGGCATTGCAACATTACAAAAATGATAAATCTTTTAATCAATTATTTTTTATAACTGACAATGTATCGAACTCACAAATAAGTTATTATTACTAATGTAGCTATTCGCTCGAAAATAAGAAAAGACAATTTATCCAGAAAAAATCCAAGGGAGCCTCCAACTAAGCGTGTTTCACTTGTCAATGAGCCTTATGACATCCATCTAGCCAGCTTGGGCTTTCTCATAAGCAAGAGAACTTTACAATGACATGTTTGTGATATGCTTCAGTTTCTAGGCAAAAAGTATCCTTTAATCAATCATATTGATTGCAATGTGCAAACTTTGCAGAAAGAGGATTATAAGACTTAGAACAAGATTGAACTTGCTATAAATTTAGTCTCAGACATCCAATTATGAACCGCTTCTTAATCTTTGGTTATTTTACTGGAAATAGTTGATAAAGCAAAGTTTATTCTTGCCAAGCACCATTGGTGCAATCCAAACGTCGTTTGTGTTCTACCAGTCAATATATGGTTTTGACAATTTTGAGGGATGACTCATTTACAGTGTACGAAGATTTGAATGCCAATTGCTGATAAAGGATGGTAAGAGATGCTATGTTTATGGGAAAGTTCTTTTTATGCAACACGTAGAAATGTAGGACGGTTTTGGCCTAACATGAACCAGAATTTTTTTTACAGTGGCAAGTTTTGTGTCATGAGAAAGAGCAGCAGGATATCTATCCAGTCAATGAGCTTAGTCGCTTACAAGAAGTTATTAGTCAATGGACAGATACAAAAAACGGTTTTCGTATACACAGGAGAAGATTGGTACCACTTTATCAAAAGAGTATTCTGCCTCGAAAAAGGGAGAGGCTTTGTGCTCAATAGCAGCCATGTTTCAGGGCTTCATGCGCCCATTGTCGCGAAATATCCCCACTTTCGCGACCTAAACGTCATTTTCTGCGAATCTAAGAGCAAAAAACCGTTTGAAGATGGTTTTATTTGATGTGACCAGAAATGTTGTTGATTAACATGCCAAACTTTTTGGCTCCTCGGTGCCAATTGAAAATTTATTTAAAATCATACCTGTATTATTTCTATTGAAACTGAGTTTTGTTCATTTGTTGGAATTCGTTATAAGCTTTATTTCATTCCTTATTTTTTGCAACAATGCAACAACACCAGAATTCAGCAGGTAAAAGCGGAGTTGTATTGGCTAAATTCAGTAAGATACATTGAAATCAAACTGTTACATAACTTTGAAGCTCATTAATAGTGAAAAAACTTAGTATATGGAAAGAAAGATATCAATCGAGATACGTAAAGAAATTGCAAGCGTGGGTTAAGCTGTGATTTTCACATAAACATGGCTACGTGGAATATTTCATTTTCATTGTAACTTATCCATAAAGCTAACTGTAAATAAATAATTAATCGTTTCAAGTCTTTTCTAGGCTCCGTAGGTAGAGATCCTCGATTTCTACATAAGCACTAGACACTTGACCGTTAAGGGGCGGGTTGGAAAGTAAACAAGGGTTTAAATGAACAAAGATTTCAATTCAAAAGAGCCCTGTTTACAGAGTTATTCTAAAGATCTAAAAAATGGTGCAGATGGATTTTAGCATGGCATTAGCCTAAATTTTTAGACGTTGATCAATATTCACTGCTTGAAATTTGATTTTCAGTTCAATTTAATTCAAGGCAACAAATTCAATTCAATTTTACAATCCCTTGGTGTCAGATATCTCAAAATCAGTAAAGACTGAGGCACCTTTGAAACAGTAGCGGAACATATTGGATCCGTCACAAGATTGTTACAATAAGACCTTCTGTTTATACCTGCTTAGCTGATCCATCACATTTTTGATAGGGTTAGCTGTATCGTTATTGATAATGTTAGGTAAGTGAAGCGCCAGTAATCTGGTACTAGGTTAACCCATTTGCAGTCAAAATTTTGACACGATGCGAGAATAAGGCTGTTCTATACAATGAGAAAGATTCGTATGCAGTGAAAGAGGTTAAGCGTAAAATAACAGATATGTTCAAGGCTATATCGTCACTGCTATCGATTGTCACTTTAAATATAGTATTAACTACAAAAACAAGCAACCTGCAAAAGAAAATATCATTGAATGGATAGTCTGGAGGGCAGGACTATCAGTGCGACCAATCTTCAAATACACCGTAGATTATCATAGATCGAAAAGTAAGACAAAAAGCAAGGAAACGGTGTACGATGAAATCTAGTGAAGCAAGATTCTGAAAAACAGCTTTTATTAGTATATTGTAGTGTAAGTAGATACTTTGGCTACTCAAAATAAATCATGCCTTCATTAATGATGCTTCTTGATGATTAGCTGAAAAATAATTTGCAATGTGAAAATTTAGCTTCAATTGGAATATTTATCACAGAGACACTCAAGCAGCACTTATTTTTCAAAGCCTGAGCTCTTTCTGCCTTAATGTTTGTAAGAGAATTATTGATCTCTGAATTTTGCATTTATTTGCATTTCAGAGAATGCAAATAAAATCAGGTAAGTGGTGGATGGATGAATAATGGAGAAAATTCTTGTCAATTTGTCTAGGCATGTGTATCTTTACCCCCTATCCTTTTAGAACAAACGGTTTCAAAAGTAGTACCAACCAAACATAAACAATTATCTAGTTTATTCCATGTTTCATATTAGTATCGAAACTTTCACGGAAATGTAGACACACACAGCATCGAGAGTACTCTCTGTCGCCACTCCTCAGCACCAATCTTGGGACATTTTCTGCTTACCTTTTTCTTTATCCGTCGTTCATACCAGGGGTGTAGAGCTAGGGGGGCTCAGGGGGGCTGAGCCCCCCTTGCTGCTGCCGAAAATTGGTAAATCTCTACTTTTGCTATTGTTTTTCGCAACATTTTTGGCAAGAGCACTACAGCAAGAGCACTTCGGCAAGACCTTGTTATTTTGATAGCACTACACCACTGACTCATACTTTTTTCATCTTCATATATCGAAGGCTTGAATCCGCAGACAGCAAATGCCAAGGGTAAGGCTGAACATTGCAATCCTTGGCTACGGAATGCCAATTGGTTAGCCAGGTACTTTGCCAATTGGTTACTTTGCCAATTGGTTACTTTGCCAATTGGTTACTTTGCCAATTGGTTACTTTGCCAATTGGTTACTTTGCCAATTGGTTACTTTGCCAATTGGTTACTTTGCCAATTGGTTACTTTGCCAATTGGGTGCTCTGCCTGGTCAGCACCAAGCAATTGCTAAACAGGCATAGTCATAATCCACTTTTCTTACCTACGATGTTTTATTAATTTCTTTCCTTTGGATCTGAATATTTTTTCCGCTTTCTAGGATTTTAGAATTCAACAAGCGTTTTTGATGACACATTTATAACAGTAAGCAATTAATATTTTGCGATTCCCATCCCTGTATTTCTAGCTCTAAAGTGTCTGATTCGCCCTTTTTGTTTCTTAAAGATGTTCATTTTATTTCAGCCAATCTGTGAGCAAGTTTTGAAGTCTTTAAACATTGCTCAGCGTAAACAGAAGGATTCCATTCCTCCAGCTGCTCAACTGTGGGCCTTATCTGCGTGCGGTTCGATTCAATTTCCAGAACAGTCTTCTCAAAACAAGCAAGCATTGAGAACCTCGAAGGAAAGGACGGAGAATAACGGATTTTGAACCAATTTCAATGGATTCTATTATCTGCTGAACTACAACAAAGATCACAAAATACATCACCATGTCCCTATTAGGCTATTTAATCGCCTTACATTTGAAAAGAGTTTTGAATATTTGAGAAATAAATTGTTTTGTGCTTTGGTAGTTTTATGAGGATACAAATACACAAAACATTGGCCGTAAAACTGCCGATACTAACAGTGGATCTTGGTTTCTCAACAGAGGTCTGGCAAGTGTTCGACAGAATGTGCTGAGATCTTGAGGCTGGCATTGTCGTAACGGTTTATTGAATATATCCTGCTGTAAAACTTTGAGGTTTTTCTCAAAAGCAATGGCCCTTTTTATGAATCGGTTTTTTTCATGGCTAATATTCTGGACAGCTGTTCTCCGTGCTAATGCTGGAGGTAAGTCTTACTCAACGATTACGGCCGGGAATGTTTATGTTTGTCGGTTTTCTGATGAGAAAAAGTGCAATGACCGAAATATCTGAGCATTTTAAAATGAACGATCTTTTAACAATCAGTCTAGTAATTAGCTTGAATGAAGAATGAAGCTGATAAGTAGCAAATGCAGATTTAAATTTTACTGATAGTTTAAAAGGAAATTATTACATGTGTTCTTATATGAATGTTTATCCTTGAAATATAAATTCTGAAATGCTTAAGCTTACATACACAAGAGTAAAACCGCCAGTACCGGGGCATGAATATTTCAATTAACTCTTATTTTCCATTCAAGCAAGCGCTTTTTACATCATGTAAACTAACATTTTACGGATAGACTCTTTGGAATCTTGTATCCTACGCATTTATTATACTTTTACAGGTACTCTAAGGTCAGGAATAAACGATACAAGCCTGTTTACTTTTTCGACATTTTTGAAGACTTCCCGCTCCTTATTTCATCCCCCCTGCACAATCGATGAGAACCCTCAGTCCTTGCAACAAAACATTCACTTTAGCAAAGGTCGCCCCTCCTGTCTTTTTTATTTACAACTTGGTCAGGACCTACCTTTTTCTTCAACCTCCTTTTTTACTGGACTTTAGTCTATAGTAAAAAAGGAACTAAATACATAGGGAATAAACTACAAAAAAATAACAGTATAAAATAACTTGATGTTCGCGCTTTCAATGCCAACTTCATGGTATTCCAAGTCTTTTTAGAACAACGTTTCTGCCTTTCCCGGCTTATAAAATTTTGAGATTTTTTGTTTTTGTTACATTAAATTGGCTTGATTAGGCGCAATCCATCGTTAATCTATGCCTTTAGTTTTGCCATAGTTCGGGCGAGGGCAAAAACGCAAGAAAAACAACATGCGGGCAGTTGCTATTGTCTAAAAGGCAGGCCCAGTGGTGCAAATTGAATCGACAGGAATGTGGATTGAAGGGATTCCAATTGTAGTGAGATACTTTGTTTATGTAAAAAACATTTCTGGTAGAGTTTGAAATTTCCGACTCAGGCTTGATTCTTAAGTCTCAAACAATCATCGACATGGTGTAATGAAGGGCTGTTTGACTGTGGAGACACAAATCGAGGAAAGGAAGGAACAATATGATTACCTATCTTATCATTATTTTATCTTATCATGTTCTATTTTTATCCAAATTAGAACGGCAGCGGCAATGGGTTTAAAACCAACTTTGAAGTTGCCACAACATGTGTTTGTGTGTTTGTCTCGAATGAGTATCTTATTGCTCAAAGAGGCATTCCCTATCCTCTATAGAGAATTTGGGTTTATAAACGGAGGGCACTGAGCACAACTGCCTTTACGATGATAGAATAAGCAAAAGTAGCCCTAAACAGGCTCCTTGTGGTATTTGTCTGTATCGTCGTTTGTTTTGTCAAAATTGCAATCATATACATGTCTGATTTTTAATCTCTAATGATAATAGCAAAGAAAATAGCATACTCTCAAAGCTCTTTTCTATCCCCATAACCCCCCCCCCCCCCCAACTGACTCGACTGGATCATTTAAAGCACTTTATTTTGAAGAAGAACCCATATGGGGCAAGAAGCAACTTTGACTATCGAGAGAAGAGGTTAAAAATCGTTGTACACTTGAAATGCGAAGAAAAAATAATTTTCCTCAGCGAATGCATCTTGAAAAGCTCTCTAGAACTTTTAGAATGTTTGCTTTTGATGGAAGTTCTCTTTAAGTGGATTTGACAAATCTATGTATGCATGATGATTCTGGAAAAAAAATAATTACATTGGAGATTGATTAGTTTGAATCATTTTAAACCTTAACTGACAAAATCACACAGCGGCTTTAACGCAATTGCTGCTCATCCACAGGATTGGCAATATAAAGCTGCCTTGTCGACATCACGTTAAAAAAAGGCAATTACAGCAAACACGGCGACTTTGATATAGTTTGCAAGTTATCTTTACAAAGGTATCGCTATTACGCGGTTGTGGAAAGGAGGACGTAGAAGGCAGGTTTCTCCATGATGCCTTGGTTCTAAGCCTTTTTTCCGATTAATGATCCTAGGAAGGGAAACTTTTCGATGAACGTCTCAAGACCGCCAACTTCTCGGCTCGTTTAGCTTAACGGGAGACTTTTCTTAAGTACTTTCTCCTCTAGCCTAAAGACCGACCATAGGAAACCGACCAGCTTAAAATTTTCAACTTTCTGCAATAATCAAACGCTGTAATGTCGAGATTAAACTAGTCATAAGACTGAAAATTTTATTTAAAACTGTTTAAAAAAAGTTTTCCAACGCCCCCCCCCACCCTACTTCTTTCATAGAAAACAAATTTTGCAAAGCTCTTTCATTATTAGTGTTTTAAAAACATGTTACTCTTCCCATCCTCAACTTGTTCTTAATTCGTTAACCAAGGGCGAAGCCAAAACAATGTTCGAAAGGGAAGAGAAATGCTTTTTGCTAACAAAAACGGGCGTGTCTCACTCTTCTTGGACGCTTTTATAGAACGTAATAGATAATTTTATATTCTGCTGCTATGCGTTTCTCTTTAAAATGTCATACTCAAGTGCCATACTTTGAAAATTCAACTCATAGAAAAATGTTGACACTTTACAGTTGTTGTAAGGGATTACAGAGTGCGAAAAAATTGCTTCTTTTACCCGGCAAAAATCCTTCATGTGCCGATGGATAAACGGTTGGGGGCACAGCGCCCCCGTACCCCCCGTACCCCCCTTTGGTAACCCCTGCTCTTGACTCTAAACCAGTTTTGATGCATATGGTAATGAAGCAGGTAACGAAATTTCTGCGTGAAAGTCTTGTTTTCTAAAAAACACAGAAAGATGAATTCTTAATTTCCCCTAATTTCAAAATTCAACATTCTTATAAAATTTATGCCCACTAAAATATACTCAAAGTTGGCAAAGCAATTGCTTATTAAATGTGTTTTGCGAATTGCGGGTTCAATACAGAAGTTTCGTGCAGCTGTGCTTGTAGATTTGCTGACGAATCGTAATCTCATCAATAAAATGTACACAGACTAAAGCCTTGGCCAAACGACTACGCAAAATTCAGTATGTAAAGATGGAATTACACAAAGCAAATTTCTCGATTGAACTAGAATATTCGATTGGATTTTTTCCCTAACAAGAGAAGGATTCTGCAATGAAAAAGTTGATTTCAATCCTTCTTCTTCAATCGAAGCTTTATCAATAGATTTTCCATCGAAAAAACCAAATATTTAATTTCAGCTGATTTATATAAAGACAGCAAAAGCACTTTTTGCATTTACCATGTGAGATTTTGCAATGACTACAAAAGCACTCTTCGCACTGAAAATTTCGCCTTGTTTAAATCTATGTTGCATTAAAAGTGCAGTCGTTTAACCAATTTTCAATGTTGCTCAGTGTTGTTCCATGTTGCTCAGTGTTGTTCCATGTTGCTCAGTGTTGTTCCATGTTGCTCAGTGTTGTTCCATGTTGCTCAGTGTTGTTCCATGTTGCTCAGTGTTGTTCAATATTGCAAAATTTCGTTCACTTCTGTCAATATTTTTCAGCATTTTTTTAGTTCTGGTTTAGTTAAGTTTAGTTTAGTTTAGTTCTAAAAATGATTATCAATGATATAAAAATCTGTAATAAAAAGTTTTTTGAAAAGTGTAATGAAGAATCTTTGACGAAAAAAATCAAACTGAACAAATTGAATCTTCTAGGACACACCCTAAGATAACCAAATGATACACCAGCATTACATGCAATAAAATACTCCTTTCAAGCACCACAGAATGCAAAGAAATATCCTGGAACTCTAAGAATAACACTACCAGACATAAAAACCGCATTGAAAACTCAGCCTCTATCAATAGAGCAGTTCAAATATCAGACCACGTAAATCTATCACAAATAACAGTCCAAGATCGTAATCGATGGAAGGAATGGATTGACATCATATGCTACACCTGTGATAAGTAAAACATTATTTCAACGAATCGAGAAGGCAAAGAAATAGAAAAAGATAAAGAAGAAGAAAAGAAAAAGAAGAAGAATTCAAGTACAATTGGTAGTTAAGATAGACGCATTTGCAATAGGCCAAAACAATTTTCGGCAGTCAAATTAGTCTCTGTCATCTTATCAAATTAACACGTTGTGAGCTCCATTCACAAAAACCAATCAGACTACAGAAGGGCCTATCCACAAAATAACCACTGGTAAACTGTAGAACATCGACTAGGCTGTAGGTATCATGGTCGAGCATTGCCCATCTCTAAGAAAAATGCAGGATAGGCATGGAGAAACGATACATGAATGAATGAACAATTACGCAGATACCAGGACACATTTTATAGAGGTGAACCATAATAGATCTCTAGTCGGGAACAATGGATATGGTTATACCACAAGGGTCCATTTTTGACCAATACTTTTATCTATATATGTGAATGATCTAAGAAAAATAGATTGTAAATCCTGCATAGATATACTTGAATAAAGTTTCGGTCTTAAATTGTCAAATTAAATTGAAAGGATTAGAAGAGAGAAGGAGGAAGGGACAAAACGATACAATATGCTATAAAGCTTAGGAATCAAAAATTTATCGATTCGTTTTTGCATGTATAACTGTCATTCAAAAATTAGAACAGGGAACATGTTCGTTGTCAAGCCTAAGAGGACAGGTTCATTGATGCGTTGCCCAGATGGGAGCCAGCAAAGTATCTAAATTCAATTTCCCCTTTGTCTTTAATCCTCTCTGCAACGATGCTGCTTGTTTTTGATGTTATTTTTTGCGTTATAGGATGTTCGTTTACGTTGACAAGAAGTCACGGCATTGTTTACACACCAGTACTTCATGTAAATCGTTTTGGGTACGGTGGCGTGGCTTGTGATTGGACCATCAATTCATTTTCTGGTCAAAATATCATACTGAAGATCCCAAGAGTGATTAAAAAGGCAGACTGTGACTGTTCATGTTTCCAACTATCAATTACTGGTGAAGATGGATCTGTTATAAAAAAGCTGTGTAGTAAAGACCTTCCATTGACTCTTGACGCGGGCGACGGCAGCGTGAAGATTTTTCTTACAGGCACTGGAGTAAGTCGACTTCGGAAAGGTCTTCTGTTTTCATACAATGTGACGCAAGCACGAAATTATAACACAGAAAGGGTAACCTTTGATGCCAGAAAACGTAATTTAGTAAACCCACATAACTGGATTCAATTGGACGATACCAATGATGAAATTATTCACCGCCTTAGAAGGGACTCAGATTTGAAGCCAATGACTGGGCAGTTTAGCAGCGTTGTTACTGTTACTGAACCGTTCACAGGTAACCTCGGTAACAATTCAGTTAGCGACACCGGCAAAAAGATCAAGGTTAACAAACTTCCGGTTATTCTACCAGCAGTATTAACAGTTGTGATATTCATAGTTTGTGTAGCATTGATTGCCTATAAAAGCTACAACGCGGAAGATTTTCCTTACGATGGGTGAGTTTTCACTTTTATTTTGGCGATATCTTTTGATTAAAGGTAGTCGACAAGTACTAAGGTGGCGCCCATAGGCGTAGGGCTGCAGACGTAGGGCTGCAGGAGTAGAACTGCAGGGCTAGGGCTGCATGCATAGGACTGCAGGGTTAGGGCTGCATGCGCATGCCCATTTCAAGCTCCATTCAGTCAATTCTATCTAAACAAAGCAATTAGATTCAGCAACATCCCATGATTCTCTTTTAGGTTATGTGATCCAAATTCAAAAATTCAAAAAAGATTGTTTTGCCATCATCGTTTTAAAAATCTATTGTCATCCATTTATTTTGCAGGGACGTAGCAAAGGGCGGAGAGAAAAGGAGCCCAGAGAGGTTTTCCATTACGAGGTTTGGCTGTAATATGCTATCAAAATCCGTCATTGTAGGGCAGGGATGGGATAAACATTCTCTCAAGATACCTCTCTTCCCAAATGGAGAAGCATTGGCTCCTCCATCTCCCCCTCTTGCTACACCCCTGTTCAGTTGAAATCACATTTATGAATACTTTGAAAAAAGACTAGCGTTGGTAGTAGTATTCCTATTTCGTTTACTCTTGGTGACATTCTTGCGAGTAGGTGGAAGGGTATAGTGTGATCTGCAATTTGGAAGGGTATCGTTTCACGTGACCTGCTATATGGAAGGGTATCGTTTCATGTGATCTGCAAAATGGAGGGGTGTCGTTTCACGTTTTCTATTGCTTACATATTTCAGTTCCGAAGCTTTTTTATGCTTTCCGCAAATTGACGAGGCTTTTATCTTTTTTGGTTCTAAATTTGAATTGCTCCTACAATTTCTAGAGAAGAAAGATTTCTTTATAATACTCTTTGCTAATTGAAGGATAGAGTTGCACTATACCGGATACGGAACAGAGCGGAGTAATTTTAACTCCAAACTGATATTTGGGTTAACTGTTGCACTTGCTCATATGCCTGCATTCTTCTGTTATTCGGATCCACGGATGGCATTTACAAGCTTATGCGTAATTGTCCACATAATTAAATTATCTGATGATCTGAACGCAGCTTTGTACTGTTATAAATTCATTGTCAATAAATGTTGCAAAAATTGGCGGAAACCAAGCATACAGAAAATTATCTTGCTGTTGTATTTGTTAAAGAATATTTCTCCAAGTACTGCTTCAATGAAAGCGTTTTGGAAGGAGTGAGATCTAAATAAGAAAAAGGTATGGCAACGGCATAATCAAACCAGTTACTAATCGGTTGTATGGCAATGATATAATCAACGTTCATTGCTGTTATTCCTTTCCTTTCGCTGCGATCAAATACACGAGAAGTAATCTTGTCGCTCCGCTTCGCTACGCTTTTTCGCTCTCAGTGTGTACGCAGCCTAATGATCAAATTGCTTCAAAGCCAAAAACAATTAAAAATGCTTGGTTGCAGAGCTGAGTACATCGGATTCGATTCGTGCAATGACACGACAACGCTTCGCACGGAATGATTCTTGAGTGACCTTCGCATCACCTCTAAAGCGGCCGTCTTTTACTCTGCTAATCAGAGTGTACCGGACTGGTGCGTTGCGCAAACTCCTATCCATCAACTGCTTTTGAAATGTCTGATTAGAAATAAATCGGATATTTTTGGACTAATAAAGTTTTTTATGAATTTGTAAGATTTTTTGAACGTTTTTAAATCAAAACTTTAATAACAAGAAGAAATATCATGGTCTCTAGAGCAGGGGTGTCCAATTTATTCTTTGGGTGGACCATACACAAAAATCTTACTGCATAGGCGGGTCAGATGAAAAGTTTTGTAAATCATCGGTAAATATTGTATAGAACACTAAATGGATAAATATCTACTACATGAAAAATTGCATGAAAAGTTACACAAACAGTTCAAGAAAAAGTGATCAAAATGATATGCTACATTTATTTATTGTTTGCAGAAAGCTTATTGACATCTGACATTAAACTTGTAGTTGAAGTGGGAGGAAAGTCATGTTGGTATTTCTCTGTTTGCTTATAATAAGAAGAAAGTATGCCTTATAATTAGAGAGTATGCCTGATAATGAACTATGAAAATTTTAGCAGGGACGGCATTCCACAGACATAACACAAGGACCAAATTGTTAAAAAAATTATTGACTACGCGCGGGCCACCAAATTTGCCCTCGCGGGCCACATCTGACCCGCGGGCCGTATGTTGGACACCCCTGCTCTAGAGAATATGTTACTGTCAGTAGTACATCATGGTAATATTACTTGCACTAATTACATAGCAGGAATTGTTATCTCTCTCACAAGGCGGACGCATTAAGCCCTAGGCTTGCTGTTTAGAGTGTGCTCATTGGCGGAGAGCAAATAAGTTGTGATGATTTTATTTCACCAGGAGCGCTTTGGATATACAAAACAGTGATGAACACGTTTCTTGCTGGCCTAAAAGAAGAAATGGTAAAAAGCACGGGTAAGAAATTCTATCGTTTATTGTGGATTCGCATTAAAGTAGATTAACTAAAAATCTCTAAATTAAAGAAGGGGCAAGGATTTTTTAAAGATTTGCAGAGTTCTTTAGAACAGTAGGCAAAAGCTAAACATACCGATCCGTTAAAAGTCATGTTTGTCGTGCCTCAAATTCCAGTTATTCTTATCCAATATCGGTGGCTCACTCCCAGAAGTGAAGAGGAGAAGTTGCCGAGGGTTTTTGTTTTAAATCGCCACGCTCTCTGAGGAAAATCTTAACTGGTTCTTGCCATATTAGCCTGCGTGCAGACTCTACGGAGGAGAAAAAATCCAGAGGGGAGAATGGCAATACTGTCTTGAAGTTTTATTTTTTTTCTCAATTACTCGAGCAGCTGATATGCAAACACACGGGGATAGGGCGAGCTAAAGTTATAGCCTCCCACGATATAAGCTAACTCTGGTGGGCATAAACTTCTAATGGTAGATACATGCCCACAAAACCCTTTTAGATGCGCGCAGTTGAATGGAATACTTTTCATCGGCTGTTTTGCACATCGTTCGTCCACAGTTACGCAGAGTATTAAAGTTAGAACTTCAAAATTTGTCGCTATCTCCAACCTTATCAACCAGAGAAAAGGATTTATCCTTGATGTAATATCATTGATAGAATTTGACTGTGCGATGAAACAGGTTGGTAATGAATCAAGAAGACAAAGTCTGAATAAAACAAATCGATTTAATCTCTCATCTAATTGTTTATTACCATGCGTGGTACAAAGAAATTCACCAAAAGCCTCTCTATTTCTTCATTTCTGATCAACGCAACTCTGCTCGATGAAGATTGTACTGACGTCAATTTGACATTATATTCCAGTTAGGGATATATTTTTATGACTAAGCAGACTATGAATAGTCATTGTAGGGACAAATTTAATAAGCTAAACCCATCTTTTGCGACATTGAGGTCTACAAGAAAAACTGCCACAATTGTGAAATATTCTAAACTTCTTTGAAACGGTTTTTGCCGCGCTAGGTCTTTGTTCTTTAATTTGTCCGAGCATCCATAAATTCGAGGAATAATAGCCACTCCTTGAGCTACGATTAGTTTTTCTAAAAAACTTTAGTCCTTTAAATTGCAGTTTCTAGTCTTTTTCCACAGTACATTTTGAATACAGTAATAAGAGTAGTTTAACAGTTGTTTGATGGTTGCATCAGACGTGAAACTGAGTTGCAACTCAGAACTGTCCTCTTCTATACACCCAAGCGTCAAACTTCCTGGATGTTCATTATATGAGAAAAAGAAATAAGGAATGTATGTAGCAAATCCGTTGCCATCTTTTCAGCAGAGAACCGCTTACTTTTTTTACTAGAAATTCAGAATCCGCTCCACATTATTATCGAAATCCGAAATCAGCAACAATCTTCGGATCTGCAAACACGTTTGAAAGTCGTAACCGGCCTACAAACGTAGCGCCAATTTTCGAACCCGCAGGCCCCTATACCCCATTTGCCAGAAAAATTGATGGTTTCTACATCGCATATTATTATGGCATTCTGGAACCGTCTTTGTCACGTACTTAAAATATCTTTCTTTGCACATAACAGGCATAAATCAAGTAGACTTGAGTATATACGGTGAAGCACCTCTGCCATTACATCCCATTATTGTAATGTTACAAAGCCTACAATCTGTGTATGGATTTTGAAGGATTAGAACTTTTTTGAGGCAAAGTGCCGGCTTGTTTGTTGAGAAAGCTCGGGACTTTATTCTCTTGTTTGCCTTTAGAATGATTCTCATCGCGGAATTATTTCACAGAAGAATAATGAAATAGCAGCTAATTTAAGGTATCTTTCGCTCACAGCAGAAGCGAGGTTTATGATGTTATGCTAAAAGAATACAAAGCAGAGAAACGCAGGAAAGATCCCCTCAGAAAAAGGTAAGAGAGCTCATTGGTTCTATGTCCTGAGACAGAATCTTACGATTACAAGACATGACATCCATGCTGCCGTTTCATTCTACTTTGATGCGATTTCCAAGTTTTCAAATGGTAGATTCCTCAATAAAACGGTAAGATGTGATATTTTTAGGCCGCTTCATGGCAGATAACCATTGTTTAGGCCTATATCTAAAAGCTGACAAACGCACCTACCATTTCAGTAGGTATAACACACACGTTCTCCCAGTAACGTTCAGGCTTGTCCGTCAACAACAAAATCTTACATGTTTGTATAATTCACAATGTTCCTTGTCATCCAAACTGAATAGCAAGCCAATTTAATTTCCTTGTTTTCCTTTCTAAATGTTCTTGGAACTTGCATTGATAATGCAAAAATTGAGATTACCTTATTTGAAAGGGCCAAGCTAAAACTGAAACTACAAGCGCAAAAGGTATTGCATTCTACCTTTATAAAGAATGACTTGGAATTATCCTCTCACAATTTACGATAAAAACATTGTCACTAAAAAGAGTAGATATTTCCTGATAGTCCAGAAGAAAAATCCTCCCAAGACCACAAATCTATCTCCTAATCCTGAGAGTTTCTGTACAAGGATAAGATTAAAGAAGTCATTATCGGTGGAAATCTCGTCAAATCTAAAATTCAGCTTAGTTCAAGCATTCTTTAAAGAATATCAAAATTGGTTTCATTAGCATGGCTGTATCAGCTTAAAATGTTCCACGCAGCTTTTTCTGATGAGTTTTGTGCTCTTTTAAAAACTTTCTTAAAAATTAAATCTTTTTATCCATCGGTTAATTTCAATAACTAGGCATTTATCTGGGAGCTGGCCAACTGGGCTTGATAGGCGCAAAGACTGATCCTTGTGATACCTGAGCTGATTAATCTCCGTTTCGATTGTTTGCTGAGTTCTGCACTCAGCTAACACGTGAATATTGCGAAAACATTCACTATGGACTTAGCATTTAAGCTTGTTGTTTTTTGTGCCTGTTTAGTGGCTTTGCAAATTAAAAGTTGGACTTTCATTATTTCTCTCAAAGAAGGTTACTATTCAAAATTAATGAAGATATTACTTGATTGCAAAATAGAATTAAGAAAGTATTGAACTAAATTAAGAAAAAATTTGTATCAGCAGGTTTGATTCTTGTTTTAAAACAGACCTCTTTTACTCTTGTTCCTCCGTCGCGCCTGGATTCTTGCGTTAATTTTCTTCTTTCTGCATTCAAAGCTCAATGTTTTTCTTTATGCCAGACCGATGTTTCATATGAGGCTTACATTAAATCTTAAATTAAACTGACTTTGTTTTATAATGAACATTCCTCTATAATAGACTCCTTTTTATAAAGGAAACTTCTTTTTAACAAACATTTTCTTAGATTGTACACCTCTTTAGACCGCACACCCCCAAAAATAGAAGTAAGATTTTGTCTCCACTCACTTCCTTACAATCAAAACCTGTCGATAGAACAGGCAGAACTAAACGCCTGACAAGTGACACCTACCCTCAACAAACAGTAGTTCTAGGCCACAGTTGCCCCTTCGGAATTAGAGGTTCTCCTGTAATAAAAATATATTAAAAGCTAGCGCAAGTATTCTGACTGGCATTTTAAAATCGAGGTTTTCTTTCAAAACATTCACGTTTTAAGGTGCAAACAGGCCTTTCAATTTTTTTGAATTTTTCTTTTACATTTGTGTATTTTCGAATTAACATTCATTTCGGACTTTGACAATATGTATGCATTTTCTATCAGCTCTACCATCCAGATTGAAGGTGTCGGCGGGAATGACCCACAGTCAATTGCAAGAAAGCACCTTTTACTCAATCGAATGAGAGGTGGATCAACGTAAGTATGATGTTGATATTACAGAAGCATTTCAGTTTTGCAAATGGCTTAATTCGTTTCAACTGACTTTGTAAACCATCCTTTAGCGGTAGACCGGAGAGGCACTCAAACTCCGAACTATTAACGCAGTCCTATAAACACCAACATTTCGTCCATAAAAATCGACGGGAAGCACATCTCTACCAGTGCTGACATAGCATAATCTATGAATAACTTCTTCTGTGAAACACTTAGTGACACTTAGTGACACTTAGTGACAAAATCCCCATAGCAAAAAACCCTCTTCTTCAGAATGATTATGATGTAAATCCACAAAAAACCAAATTTAAGTTCCACGTTATTGACACAATCCAGTTAGGTAAAGTTTTTGGCAAATTCAAATCCTCAAAGGGTTGTGCTCCTGATGGCATTTCTAGCTGTTTTCTGAAAATTGCATTTTCGGTTATCTCAGAATCTCTTTGCAATATTTTCAATCTTTCAATTGCTACTGGCTGTTTTCCTGATAGCTGGAAAATTGCCAGAGTAGCCCCAATTTTTAAAAATGGTCAACCTAACGATCGATCTAACTACAGAACTTTATCTGTCCTGCCTGTTTTAGCCAGGGTGTTTGAAAAACCTATCTTCAACCAGCTGTACGATTACTTGGAGAAAAACAAACATTTATCTTCAAAACAATCTGGCTTCAGAGCTCTTCATTCTGTGGTCACTTGCCTTTTTAATAACACAGATGACTGGTATGTGAACATGGACGATGGCAGATACACTGCAAATATTTTCATTGATCTCAAAAAAGCATTTGACACCGTAGATCTAGACATTTTACTTGCGAAGTTGAAAAAAGTATGGTGTTGAAAACCTAGAGTTTACTTGGTTTACGTCATATCTAGCCACTAGAATGCAATTCTGCAAAGTTGATGGGGTATGTTCGAAGACCGAAGATATTCACTGTGGAGTCCCCCAGCGTTCATGTCTTGGCCCTCTATTGTTTCTGATTTATATCAATGATCTTCCGTTCTCTCTGAAAAAGGTAGAGTGACAATGTGCGCTGACGACACCAGTATTTCCTACTCTTCTTCGAGCTCAGCAGATATAAATAAAACTCTAAACAGTGAACTAAACGATTTGAAGCAATGGTTGCAAGGTAATAAACTTTCTCTGAATGTTCTAAAAACACTAGCTCTGATTATAGGCTCCCAGCCTAAAATTAAGAAAATTACTGATAAAACAGTTGATCATCCACAGTTTCTTATTGGTGACTCTCAAGTTGAAAATGTTGACCAAACAAAGTATCTGAGTGTGATAATCGATAGAAGCTTGAATTGGGAAGAACACGTTAACAGTCTCCGTACCAAAGTTTCTCGTGTAATCGAATTTTTGAAATATTCCAGGAAATTTTTACCTCAAAACACGTTGAATAAAGTGTATCGGGGTATCGTCGAGCCCCATTTCCGGTTTTGCTGTTCGGTATGGGAGTGCTGTGGGGTGACTAAACTGCAAACGTTGCAAACACTGCAGAATCAAGCAGCTAGAATAGTAGGTAAAAGCAGAGTTGATGCGCCTGCTATGCCACTGATTCGCAGCTTGGGTTTTCAACCTGTTCGAAAAAAATTCGACTTGAAATATTAGAAAACTGAGAAATACCGATACCGATCTTTCGCTCCCGTTACGGAAAACAAACAAAGGGCAGAGCAATCTTGTTGGCAGCGCTCGGGGACAAATAGGGAACGGGGTCAAATAGGGAAATCGGGGTCATATAGGGAAATCGTCAATTACTCCAAAGATTGGACTGATATCTCAACTCCATCTTAGAATCGGATTCGGCATGCTTCAAACTACCTTTTAGATGCTTTTTTAATTTTAGCAGTATAAATCGCAATGTCTTGCTTCTACGTTAGCTTGAGACTTGGCTCCTCCGTACCAGGGTGCATTCCAATTTCTCTCTCCGTCGGTTATTTCCGCCAGCATTTTCCTAGGGCAAAATACCCGCCAAAACGGAAAGGGCAAGAAAAACTAGCCGAAATATTTAGGGGTTCAATTTCGGTAAAATTTTTCAATGGTGATATTTTGACTGGCCTAAAATAATTCTGCGATTTTATTCGTTATTTGTTATGGTCCTGCGATTGTGCCGTTATGATTGGCTGAATTTCAGTCATCGATTTATTTCTTTCTTTCTTTCTGAATTTCTTTCTAATACTGCTTCCACAAATCATAGCCTATACATGACTGCCTCGATTCATTTAGTGGACAAGGTTCAATTATGATCAAGGCACTTGAAGGAACACAACCAAGCCCTTTTGGAGGGGGGAGGTCAGTCACAGGAAAGTAAGCAATGTCGCCTGTGCTCAAGGGATGCCAAATATTTTGGCATTGCTTCTTTGTTGCCGTGTGTTTATAGATTTTTCTTCTCCAATTTAAGCACAAAGTCTTGAAAAATTTGTTGTTAGAGGAATTAGTTTCAGGTGAGGTTGTTTCTGCTGCAGATCTGTTGCTTAAACCCCATGGACTAAGCCAATATGTTAAAATACAGATAAGCTTGGATACACTCCAGTCATTAAAGCATTAACGGCTTTATCCTTGAGAACTAAGTCGTTTTGCAAAACCATCAACTATATTCATTGAAAACTTTTGACATGCAGTGAAGCTTAAGAAAGTCCTTAAGCCATTTGATCAGATTAAATAGGATGTTCTGGGATCAGTGTCCATCAGCGCGTCTTGTTATTTTAAAAACAATCATTTTGAAGAAGTTTCTAAAGCAAATTTTTATAAAGTAAGAATATTAACTTCATGGCTTATTGTACTATTATGAAAGTTGCTTAATCTTGTAACTAAACCACCATGTAATGATGAGAGAAAAAGCTCACAATTCTAAAGAAGCCCATTTGAAGTTGCTACCTTTTCAGGTTACTCAATTGAGTTGTAAAAGTCTGGAGTGTAGTCCTGATCCACAGTCACTTTTGTGGAGACCTGCACTACGTTGTAGTGTAGTAACACCTCCTTAGGAGAAAATTACATTGTCAAAACCTGGAGTATTTTGCCATTTAGGGATGATTTGTTTGTCGGCACATTTTCAGACATGTCAGCAAAAAAAGGAAGGCTCACTCATTTTTAATGGGATCAAGGCAATCCCCTTCCATGTTGAAGAAAGCTATCGACGACCATGGGAGTTGTACAACATGATCTGATAGCTTTTGGACTAAATAGGAGAATGCGCAATTAACGAAACATGTTGACTGCTAAATTCACTCTTGAGGTGTAGGTAAAACTGGAAGGTGCTGTAAATCGTCGAAGAAGGTTGTGAAATATAATTTACATTTGTGAAATATAATTTACATTACCAGTTTAGTCTCCCTCTGTGGGAAAAAGAATATATTTGTTGCTCTCTTTGAGTTCACTGACTTTGGGTCTAATTCTATTACGAAAGGACAAATAGCACATATAATAAAATTCTATATTTTGCTCTTATGAATTTATATATTTGTAATTTCAGGCCTGGAGCAGTGAGCACATTGATTAAATTGAGGTATGTTCTTTTCATTTTTTGGTTTAGAAAACATCAATTGCATATTTGCTAGCCAGATGCGTAGATTCAAGGGTAGGGACAATGTGGAGGCGTGTGTTTAAGTACGAAACCAACCTGCAAAAGCAAGGAGCTTTTTTCCATTTAACGTTCCTCGGAGGCAAATTTTCAATTTGTGGAGGCGTGTGTTTAAGTACGAAACCAACCTGCAAAAGCAAGGAGCTTTTTTCCATTTAACGTTCCTCGGAGGCAAATTTTCAATTTGTTTGTTGACGAATAAAGGATGACTTATCTACTTTGTCGGCAATCGCTAACAACGGCCTTGGATAGAGCTTCTTCTTTTCACGAAAGTCAACTCTGATCAAGGAATGTTGTGTTGTGAATTAAATTAAGATGGCATTTTTGTTTCTAATTTTTTGAACTTTAAAGGCTTCTAACCTTGAGATATGATTTCTATTTCGAGGGTAAAAGACTTAGGGCAACCCTTGCAAGAGCTGTTAAAATAAAAATGCTTCGGGTTCTCTTCTACGACATTTACTAGAAATATTAATATTTTCCTCTACCTGTTTGCATAGGCGTCAGTGACTGGGATAAACGCATTAAAATGACCAACTGTATCCAGTTTTCCCCGCGGCTGTACATTAATTGATTGAATTTTCACGTTCAGTTGTACTTATTATTTGCAATTTTTTTTAATCTTAGTTTTACATTCTATTTTCAACTGTCTTCATGTTTTGCAGTTTTCTCTAATTTTCGTTCCAGTTTTTGGAGTTCTCTGTTTTAATCTTTTATAGTTCTACTGCTTTTATTGCATCAAGTATGGTCAGGGATGACAAACAAGAAACAAACGAAAAGTAAGATCATCTTTGCAAATGCATGAACTTTGCTACTCTTTTCATTTCTTTTATCTGGAATCTTGCCCAGACAATGTTTTAATGGTAATACCTGATCCCCCGTATCTATTTTCTGCTAATTAGGTATATATGTATGCGCTATTTGGAATTAGAGGAGTAAACACCCCCCAGTAACGACCCTACCGAACATTGAAAAAACGGTGGGGGAAATTACTAATTTATCAATTTTCAACGAGGATAATGAAATCATAAAGCGAAAACTTTAACCTTGATGGAAATTGTAATATGTTCTATGGAGAGCAAGAAAGTAAGCTGGGAAACAACAGAAAGAAAGCGGGGATGATTTTAAAAGTCAATCATTGCAGGAAAACAAATTCTTGGTTGTTCATTATTTCAACTTTGTGTGGAAGGGTTTCAGCTGGGTTGTTACTGGGGGAGTGAGTGAGAAAAATATGAGTTGTCGAGTCACACAGGCATGCTGTCAATCACGTGGTTGGATGACTGGTTATAAGTTACGTAATAATAATTATAAGTTACATAAGTCATAAGATACAGAAATCATAGAATTTTCATGAAAAAATATGTCTTGACTATCAAATTATCAATAAAGTGTGAAAACTTCAAGATACAGAAATTCATGATGAAATTCATTGAATCACAGTTCAATGTTTCTGTTTAGATCTAACGGTAATTAATTCATTTTCACGCAACACAACTGTATTGTTGGAACCTGTTTCTTCACTATATGCTAGTTTTTTCCCTGTTTAAAACAAACCTCATCATTTCAACTGCTAAAACATCTTTCTTCCAGACATGAGACGATTGAAGAAGAAGATTCGACTCCACTTATAAATAATGAAGAACAATCTAGCAAGAACCCTTCCCCTAAACAGCAAATACGCGGAAATGGCAAGCTACCTGATGCAGAATCTTCAGGGTCTGAAGAAGGGAGGCCTGGAATACCGAAGATTGAGCTTGCATTGTCCAATCCGCTACCATTTAAGCAAGAAGACGATACACAATCGGAGCAGAATAGTCCAGAGGGAGTCTCGCTGTCACCTGACTTTTCCACGGATAGCAAAGAGAAGCGAAACAGCGGGTAAGTTACTATATATCTAAATTGAAGAGTAAACGGCGGGGCAGCTTTACCAAAGCACTTATCAGTTATATTTTGTTTTGCATTTCTTCTGGCTTATTATATTCAAATTATTGAAGTCATTTCAATCTAAAAGCCATGTTGATGTATTACGTATGGAGTATCGTAAGTATGGAGTACCTGTTAGAGTATCGATTTACTTTCGATGATATATGAATTAAAAGTCGTGTTGAAAAGGAGTAGCTTGCTTCCTTAATTGGCCAAAGGCATAAATATAGATTCCTTGCCTCGCTGCCACAGAGAATAAAAACCTCAGAAGTGAAAAGCTTTATGCAAATAGTGTTTCTTGGTCTTCGATTCGATAAATTAGGTTGTAATAGGTTAGGTTAAGAATTAATAACCTGGCAAATGTAGTTTACATTTTAGATAAATAATCGGGAAGATTGTTGGCAAATTAATTATCCAATTCATTATTTTGTTAGCAAAATATTAATTAGACGCTTAATTAGTAAATAAGTTAGTTAGTTAGTTAGTTAGTTAGTTAGTTAGATAGTTAGTTAGTTAGTTAGTTAGTTAGTTAGTTAGTTAGTTAGTTAGTTAGTTAGTTAGTTAGTTAGTTAGTTAGTTAGTTAGTTAGTTAGTTAGTTAGTTAGTTAGTTAGTTAGTTAAATTAAAATTTAAATTATTTAATTTAAATTATCATTTAAACTAAAATGATTATTAAATTAAACAATTTTGTTTAGGCCAGTTTGGTTCAAATACAAGCGACTAGAGAAACAGTCTTATGTTGCCGATGATTCTGACGAAGAACTTGATTATGACTGGTAGGTGACTGTCATTCCAATAGAAGGCAAATTTAATGATTCTGATCTGCCAGCAGTATTCCCCTTCAAAGTGGTTTGCGTTTTCTAGTCAGTTTTAAAAGAATGAAGATGGAACCATTTCTTTGATAAAGAAACCAACTTTAATATTCATCATTTTAACTGGCACCAGTAATTTTTAGTTTATATACTCAACTCTTTCTACTCAGTGATACTTTGGGTTCGCTGTTTTTATAGATCTGAAGTGTGATATTATAAGGATTGCTGTTCCTTTGAATATATAATGTGATACTTAATTACCCATCGTACGTATATGTGATATTCGATTCATACCATCTCAAACATTGTTTTTTATTGTTCCCTTCTTATAATACAACGCATTGGATATGTGTTTGCCAGCTTATCTACACATAATTATAGTTTGTTGTTTAAGCGATAAACAAACTCAGCTACTCAAATATTGATACGCTAAGATCTGTTCCATTATAGTGCCCAACATATTCATCGAATTTTGTCTGCTTCACGTGAAAATATCGAAGAAGCTCGTAGGATTCTACCCGATGACGTCAAGGACATAATCCTGCCTAAAGGTTTGTATAAGAAATTTCCACTGTGCTGGCTGGGGATTTGTAGTATACAATGACTATAGCAAATACAAGTTGAAGTATATGTGAAGGAGTATTTCATCTGTTTGTACCCACATCTATTTATTACAATTTCACTTGATCGTTTTGCCTAAGGCTTATTCCTATGCAGGGTTGGGGTTGTTATTTCTGTTATCATTTTTTCCTATCATATGTCAGATTTGTGCTAACAGAAGGGGTCAATCATTATTCCTGCAGATAGGGTAAAACAAAGGAAATTTTGTTGGCTATCATGTACAAACACCAATAAGCTGAAGTTTGTAAAACTTTCATCATCTTTGTACCCACAGAGATCCGCTACTCTTTGCTAGAAAAATCCTGGACTATTTTGAATCAAATTCTACTACAGAGATCAAGCATATGATTTCTCGTTTATTGGAAATAGGTCTTGGTTGCATATCCTTATATGCTTGTTATCCGTAAATATATGTATGTTTTATTAATATATTGTACTTTCTAAAACCTGAAAAAGGATTTATTTTTGTAAATTTTTTATATATACCAATGTATGTTTATATTTTGTAGATTTGGAAACTGCTTTAGCTGAATTTGAGCTCTGGCCTGACTCCTCTGTGTGAATTCAACTAAATGATACCTTGTTTGTAAAAACACTAGTGAATTACCTCGAATGGTCTCCAAGAAGAGTCTCCTGTCGCACGTCGGTATTTTTGAAAAATGCTAATAGAATGATGACTAGGTAGCCTCTCAATGAGACGGAGTCTGAGTTCAATGAGTTCAGTTTGATGATGTTCAGCTCTACCCTGTTCCTGAGCGGTATCGTGGAGACGAACCTGCATCTGGAAATGAATTTGAAGTTTCTGCTAAAGTTGTCTAGTCCAAGTAATTAATGATGGAATCATCAAGCTATTTCTTTAGTTTTTATCAGTAGCTCGTTTTATGAAGGTTGAAACGTTTTATTTAAAAGTCTAGAGTAAATTAAGACTTTCTATGCTATCACACAATTATCCTAACTGCTGCTTTACAAGTCGACACACTCATTTTGTTATTTGAAACTATACTGTAAAAAATATTTGTTACTGCATTTCTTAACATATAGAAATCTGAATTTCTGAATTTACAATAATGCTTCAAGAAGTGTCAAAACTACTGAACAATATTTGAACCCATAAGCGTACGGCGGAATTTTTACAGGGGGGCGGTAGGATTTTGCCTGAGTACAGAGGCATGCATATATTTATGAGCCTGTTGGTGATAAGGAGCTTGACATAAGAATATTTAGATTACGAGTTCTTTTTCACCGAAATATCTAAAGTAAAAATAGTCAGTTGAGAGTAGAGCAAACCAATCAGAAACATGTTTTGGGGGACATGCTATCCTTATCGATTCTTCTATAATGTCTACTGTTCAGATCTAAAAGTTTGATCTAAGTACTCATAGATAAGGGCAGCAATGTATAATATTTTCCAATATTTTACTTAATATCACTTAAAATACTATTATTAACTCTTGAATTCGGCTACAATCAAAAGAAATGTGAGTCCCGACCCTTTCTATGTCCAAATGTATCAATCATAGCATTCATGTCACTTTTCAAAACTTCGTTTGAAAATTTTCTCTCGATGCTAAGTAGTGCCAAATTGCTCAGCCGTTCTTGGCCCATGGTTGATCTGAGATATGTTTCAGCCGTTGAAGGTTGAAGGCCACTGAATGATCGTTCAGCTAAGCAATGTTGCTTCTACAGGAATGGCAGTACTTGATGCAAACCTTCTTGAAACATCTTCTGGACAAGCATTGCTGCATTATTACCATAAGGTTCAGAAGCGCTTTGCTTCTTGTAATTTTCAAAAACTATCTTATCATTTTTAAGGCACTCTTGGTCGATTTGATAATGCAACTATATTGACACGTAGCTTTCAGTCTTTGGGTTATATGAAGATACCACGAATGTTCAACCAAATTGCCTAAAGTAAGTCCCATCACTTTCCAGTGTCATTTCTGCCCAACTATTTGCGGATAATTTTTGAAAATTTGCCCGACTGACATGGTTTTTTGAAAAACTGGGGGAGGGGGCTGCCGCCCCCCCCCCAGCCCCCCCGGCCAGCACGCTTATGTTAGCCAAGTGTATAACGTGAATGAGTCATTGTTAAACATTGCAATTGTGCAGTGGCAACAGACACTTTTGATGCAGCTTACGGTTGGTTTTAGGATAAATGATTGGTGTCTAGAGGCCATGGGACTATAAACATATTCAATATTACTACAAATGATAATTTTTCCCACAATTAAGTTTTATTGCTTTTATTACTATGTAATTGCTCGCTATTTCGTCATACATATTTCGCAGTGACTTTGTCTGTCAAATTTTTAATGGATATAATTTATTTTTTATTCATATTCAACTCTCGTTCTTATGGGAAACTGAATTGTAATTAAAATCGTCGCAATGAATAATCTTTGATGAGATACCTTTTAATGTTGCCTTGTTTTTACAGAAATGTCATTTTGAGGATCTTGAGATTTAAAGGAATGTTCTTCCAATGGTCTCGGTTTGTTCTTCCAACAGTGAAAAAAGACAGTACTTTACCAATTAATGCCTTTAAGGCAAAGGGGTACTGCCAAATAATGAGGTGACAAACGAATTTGTGCTAAAGGGTTAGAATATTGTGCTCCTTGGAGAGCAAGGACTTAGGTAATCATCTTATTTTAGTTGAAGTTAAATCCGACTCTTCAAAATTTAAATTCGCACAAGCCTTATAAGCAGTGGCATGCTGAGGATGAGATCGCAGGGGGAAGGGGAGGTGGGGGGCAAAGGGGCACATTTAGTTATCTTCAAAATCTTTCTTGGAGGTTTTGGAAATGTGCAGAAAATAACAAGAGCTCGGAAGCACGCAGATCTGTGTCTATCTATCTAGCATACTGAAAGACCTTCAAATGGGAGGAGATGAGGTAGTCAATTACTGATAGAGAACTTTCAAATAGAGTATGTTATTCTTTGTAATGCCTAACAGTGTTGAGTTTCGTTGTAGTCCCCCTTGACCGCGCTAGTTTCTAGGTCCCTGTGAGCCGTCTTCGCTTCCCGCTTCGTGAATCGGAAACTCTCTATTATCAAACTGCACAACAATGATAATCAGGGACGCGGGGCCGTAAATCCCGGGGGACGGGGGAACTAGACCCCCTAAAAAACTGGAGCAAAACGATTTTTTTAGAAATTATCAGCATTTTCCTTAAAAAAAGAAGTCCCTAGTAGCCGGGTTAGAACCAAACTACGTTTTTTCTGTGTTATTGCAACAAACCTCAGACACTTTGTCATGGTGTCAAGTGCAAGTTGACTTTTGCTGATGGCTGTTTTTTTTGTAAGCAGAGTGGTTTTTATCATATTTACAAGATAAGATTATATTTCAATTATTTGCTTTTATTTAGTAAATCACTTTCTGTATCATTACAATGCATTCATTTTTGATGTGTAAACATGGTCTACTTAAAGCACTCAAAGTAAGGAAGACGCACATTTCTTTTCAGAAAGTAAATTTCTACCAATCAAAACAGTCTGTCACTAAAGTTTAACCATGACTCTTCCCCTCCACAATTTCACCCAGTAAACAATAATCTGTGTTCTTCTGAAAAAAGTTCGAATTTTCTATCCTGAGATATCTAGTATTCTATTAAATTTAGTCTGGGGGATACTTTTTTAGCCTTTCTAGAAGGTATAGTTTCAAACATTTCTTTCCGCGTCGGACCCAACCATGATGGATCCTCCTACGTCACTAAACTTGATTCTTAGCTCCTTTCTTGGGGCAGTCTCTGAAAAATGTTATCCATCCAATCATACACACAAGTCAATGTACTAAGGAATATCTGTAAATATCTTCTATAGAGCAGAAAGTCTTGAGAAAACCAAAATCGTCAATTTGTCTTTAGATATCAATATTATTGTGTTTACATGCCTGATTATACACTTCTACAACTTTTTATGCATTTTGAATGGAAGCATGGTGAAAAATTGGTAGAATTAATTGCAGAGGACTGGGTCCGAGTACCATCGGCTAACAAAAGCACTTTGGGGGTACTTTACAGTTGGGGTTCTAATTTCATCGTTTTCAGCATGTCAAAATCTATAGGTATACCAATTTTCAAAAGGAAAAAGACAACAATGAATGAAAATACGAGAAGCTGTAGCGAACAGGTAGATATGGGAAAAATCCTATTCCTAGCGTTGAAAGAAAATGTCCCTATTTTCAATCTTTAAACATAACGGCTGTGGAGGACGAAATTCATATCTTATTAGCTTGTCCCCTTTACGTGTCTGCTAGAAATTCTATGTTATCTGTGATTTATTCAAAATTTCCCAGAATCCCATCCCTTGACCTTTGTGACAAGTTTATCTGGTTGTTGAGCCAAGTAGGTGGGGATTGTCTAATTTTGATAGCTAATTTTTTATCCCTGGCTTTCGAATCACGGGAATCTTTTGGTAAGTCCTCCATGAGCATATCTATGTAACGTTTACTGCATAGCTTATAATCATGTTCACATTTTCTTATCTTGTATTGCTGTAATTTGAGATTAATTGTTAATTTGTGATGAAGGTAGTCATCCGCACATGTTAACTTGTAATTGTGTTGGCGATGGGCCATTTCGGCCTACAAGCCTTACATAAAAAAAAGAAAAAAGCCGATTATTATTGAAAACAATCTAATATACTATGACTAGTGGTCTCTTAGGTGTTCAACAACAATATCTTGTATTTGGGTATTTTTGGGTCTTATCAGCATCTTTTAACTGATAATTTTGAGTCTGTTAAATTTGTTTTGAATTCTTGTAGCTGAATCTTGATAACTGCGGATAGACCTCCCCTTTTATAAAAACTGGCCTGGGGACTCCCCCGTGGAAAGACTTTTAAGACACAGTGAAGCCTTGCAGTCATCCGCACATTTTCCATTTCCCTTCCCTTTTTCTTAAATCTATTCTTTGAACTGGGAGGATTTTGCTGCTTATTTAAAAAAGTTCCAAACTTGAATTGTTGAGAAAGTAATAGAATTAAAGAAGGGTTATCTCAAAACAACGATAGCTCTGAGGCCTATATGATTTGATGCAAAGACCAAGAAGCCCGGGGGTTAGCCCAACTACTGAGAAAGTACCTCCTTAAGAAACCCCCGCTCATACTTTTTAATGCATATGCTATCATTTCTTTTTTTCTATCATTTTAAAACGTTTCTTTATTTCTTATTAGTCTTTAAGTTTAGGGTAGGGCTAATTTGTGCTGCTGCACTTATTGCCTTGTTGCCACGCCCCAATCGTCTAAAATCATATTTACCTGGAAACTTCGCACACATACATCCTAGTTCTCTTTAATTTTATCTTCTAGAAGTAGCTATGGCGTTGAGAGAAAGTAACTTGGTAACCTTTGTCGTTTGCAGATTCCAAGCGCACTTGAGATGTGTTTGGAAGTTGAAGAAAGCATGTCCAGTCTTGTTACGTCACACTTGTACCCTACTGGTTCCAATTAAATAGGTCTTATTCATACGAGGCTGTTAATTGTGATTGGTTTGAACAATCTCATTGTGCCACGTGCAATTTCCTTTTGTGATCGATAGAATGATAGACATCTATGTTGTTGGAAGGGTTGCACGTCAAGTAGAAGCTGTTCCGAGAAGGCTTGATGATTTTGCTCTAGCACGGGATATCCAGATAAAGTAATAAGGACTTTCGCTAAGAATATCAACCAGTTTGCTGAGCACAATGATTGAAGTTATTGGGAACAACGGGTTATATGTCGTGTTGGCAATTGTGGTCATAGCGGTTGCCTCGCTTTTTGGCCTAGTTGTCTTTGTCAGCAAAGAAGAGAAATTTGAAGATGTTATTGCAGCCCAAAAGAAAGAGCAAGAGGCTTTGATCCAGTCACTTAATTCAACAGCAGCAAAACCATCAAAATCAAAGAAGAAATGGCAGAAAATCAAAAAGGAGAAATCAGTAAAAGCCCAAGAGAGAAAGGACGAGCCTGAGGCCACAGAAGAGTTAGGCCCAAGTGAAGACATGATGAACGAGGAAATTGTTCTCGAACAGCTTACAGAGATTGAAATTCCTAAGATTGAAACGGAGGTGATCTCATAATAATTGTTTTTATTGTTTCAGAAACCATTATCTCGTAAGGAGGTCGTTAAGGTGGGCTATATGGACAATGATACGTGTACTCTATCTAAAGGAGCATAGGAATTGAGCAACACACTGGACAGAGGTTGAAGTGCATTCCCCATTTATTTTTGTGTTCGTTTACGCCGCCCTAATTCTGACATCCCAAAAGATAGAAGGGCAATTTGCAGTAGTACTAAAACGTCTTTCAAACCCTTATAGTCGTTTTAAGATTGTGTAGTGTATTGAAAACTATCCAAAAACTACTAAAAGACCACATGTCGTAAAACCAAAACACGTCTGATCTTGTCTTCGTGTAACAAATTCAACGCAACACATTTTAACAAGAAATCACTTGGTGCATTTTTCAAACCTAAATGGCAGATAAAGTTCAATTTGTATTACTATGATTCCTATGACTAAAACAAAGTCACATGGTGTGAATAATCCTAGAAACAGAATCCCTTAATGGAATATGGTCATGGGATTACTGTGAACTAAAAATGACTGTCTATAGAAAATATGACTTTGTTAGGATTATCTGTTTAACTGAATTTGCACATGTTAAAGTATCACTATTCAAAATCTTAAACATATCAACTGTTTACCAATGGAAGTTTTCAAGTGTTGCTCATATGGTTGTTTCAAAGTATATTGTCTGTTTTTCACAAAATGGTCAGAAATTGTCTCCTCAGTATCTCCTAAAGATCATGTATCAAGTATCTTTTTTCATGTCTCTTTTATTCAATGTGGAAATATAGGTAATGTCATTAGGCATAATTGAGGCAGCACACTTGAAACTGGGTGTGGCATTATTTATATTAAATTTTATATAGACATGCCCTAAAAAATTCAGCATCACTTGCTAACATTTATGCAATTTCTTCACTGAATATAAGTGCCTGTACCTTAAAGATGCAAAAATTTCTGATCACAAAAAAGAGAAAGTGACAGATTATGACACTGCTTCTTCTAATAATTTAAAGGCAAGGGAGAATAGAACAAACATTTTTTATACTTCAAATACATGATTTGCAAGATTCTTTTTTTAAAAAACTTTGAAAAGAATCTCTTTGAAAATCTTTGAATTTTTAAAATGATTTTTTGAGTTCACAATCATTATTGATTTTTTAATTTTGCTCCATTTTAAATCTGTTCAAATGTGTATATTGTGTTGCTAGTGAAGCATTGTGAATTCAAATCCAAAACAGAATCACTTTGATCCCCTGTATATGAAAGCAAAGTAGCATGTATGCATTGGACCTAAATGGGTGGATCTGTCTAAACATTGTTGGTTTTCTTTATGTCATTATTCTCAATTTGTTGTAAACAAATGAGATTAGAATGAATGTGGGTGCTGAAAATTTAATGGTTTGAAAAGCAAAGGTTAAATTGTTATGGTTTCATTAGCAATATGAACCCTCAGCTGAATAGAAAAGAAATTGGTTTGAAAATATTTGTCTTTGTACCGAAGCTAATATGTTGAGTCTCTTGCTGGCGAACCACCTTTTTGTTTTATGGCAATTATTAGCCTACACAAAAAACTTCCAAGAGTGCCTGCAAGGGCATTAGGCAGTAACCAATGTAAAAATTGATTAAATTTCTATTTGATTTCAAGATTGCTATGTTTTAGTCATATCTGTTTTTTACAGGATATTTCAAAAGCTCCAAAGAAAACAAAAGGAAAAGAAAAGAAGAAGAAGCAAAAGGTAGCCGATGACAGTTCTAACCAAAAACCGATAGTCCCTGTTGAAGAACAAATTGTTGAGGCAGTTGAAGAAGTTGTTGAAGCTGTTCAAGAGGTTGGAGAGTTAGAGACCGTCCCTGAATCTGCCTTCTTACAGCAAGCAGTCGAAGAAATTCCAAAAGAACCACTTGTATTGCAAGAACAAAAACAAACTGAAGCCCCTGTTTCCCAGAAGAAAGCCAAGAGCAAGAAGGCAAAACCTCAGGTCACAGGTATGCTCATCTTCAATTGAAAAGTAAGAGTAATGTTGGATCAGGCTGTTTGAATAAGATGAACAGCAATGGCATACATGGGAACTCTAAATTGCAACCCTGAAAGTCAAATAAACAAGACAAATATTCTTGCTGCAAATGTCTGACTGTGTATCAACAGGCCTGGCCGCTTAAGGAGAGCTCTATTTCTTGTTCTTCTCCAGGTTATTGCATAGCAGTATCAATACTCATTGAGTAAAACAAATACAGAGCAGTGTGAAAGGAGCCTCTGTCATCCTGAACACAAAACATTTGCACTGAAAAAATAATAAACTTTAAGAAAGGACCAGCTGTTGAATAAGAAAATTTGAAAAACTTTGAAGTGAAGCTATTTTTGGAAATAGGAATCTTGGAAATAAAAAAGGGGATGTTCTTACCAATCATATGGCCTACCTTGGGAGCCTACACTTGAAGGGTACTTTAAATAAAGAATAGAATAGTTCTTACCAATCATATGGCCTAGCCTTTTACATGTGACTTGTACCAATCTGTCTATTTTCATTGATTCTGCCAAGTCACATGTGTTGACTTTGATTTATATACTATATAAAAAGCCTTACCCTATACAATTATTCCTGCTGGGGACTTGCTCTGAACTAATATTCCAATGGTGAAACCCAAATCTGCCACAATTCGATAAGGGCAGGATCTTGAAAAAGTATCCACCAAGAAATTAGATAATATCTTCTCAACTATGACTAGTATAAGTAACCCAGAGTATTGTCTGAGTTAAGAACCACAAACAGCATGAACAATGTTATGTTATATCTTGTATTCTAGCTGGTGGAGATTCCACTGTAAAGAGGATTGCAAATGATGTTGAGAAGGCTCAACTTACTAATAATGATGTTCAAAAGTTGATTGATACTTTGCTAGACAAGCAGAATGAGTTACAACAGTGGCAAAAGGTTTTTATGTTATATAGCTTCTTATTTAGCAGTTTTTTGTGTCAGGTTATTCAATAAACAATAATGCATTGAGCTCAATTAAAGAATTGTGTTTGCCTATCATATTTATGGTCGCATTGCTTTTGTTTTGTTGAGCAGCATGGATTTGCTTGTAAACACCTGATGCTCCATTTTTCATTTATGTTTATAATTCTGTTCATTTATGTTTACATTTATGTTTTCAAGCATTTCTTTTTGACAGATAATACTGTGAAATTCTATACACAAGACAGGCTGAGGGTCCTGGTTTCCTATTTACTTGTCTACCTATAATATCATTAAGTGTTATATGGACACATTACCTTTAAGTGTAAACAATTTGACATTTTAATCAGTTAAACATTAGTCTGATCAGCTATGCTGAAAGTTCTTCTGAGGACATTTCAAACTTTTAAGTGATAGGTTAAAGGAGTGTATGTTCTACGTTCCACTCAATTCATGTTTTCTCGTTCTAAAGCCAAATCAGAAAGCTGATCCAATGGATGAGCTAAAGAAAAGAGTGAATGATCTTGAGCTACAGCTCAGTGAAGGTAGGTTAGCTAAACTAATTTTTGAACAGCATCTATGTCTTAGTTGCTGCTTTAAAGGCCTCTCTAGCCAAATTTTGCACTTGCATTTCATTGGCTTATCTAAAGGAGTTTAACCTGCTGATCACAAATTCGTTATTTGTTTTTTGATTTTTTTTACAGTTTGTGAGATATAAGCTCTTGCATTTCGATAATTGAATTTAATTATATAACCGACAAAAACTTTTCGGTTTGGTGACACTGTGCAATTTTGACGTCACTGTGCATTTTGTTAGTCTCGCCTCAAACCGAATTGAACGATGGTGATTCGCAAATTGATTGTACTCTCAGTTCTGTTCGACCGGCCTTTAGTTTGAGCATTTCAGACACCAATTCTGAAGCCTTGTTCATCGTTTCTGGAGGTTCATCACCATTGTTCATCGAAGTTGTTCTAGAGAACAACTGTAGTGTCAATTTTGATTAATTATACGTGAGGGAAGAGCTGGAACAGGAAGCCATAGCTTTGTTGGCTTGTACAGGTGATCAAAACAAAGTCTTGACACAGCATGGACACATTCCGACCTGCAGACTTATTATTTTTCGATCCTAAAAAGCTCCTGCTGTAGATTTAGATGTAGTTATCAACGCGTGACTATGACTCCTTCACGACTCGGTGGAAGACATACAAAATTCATGGCGAGCGAGAGCCGCACATTGTGACGTCAGAATGTCACCAAACTGATTCGGCTTTTGTCGTTTTTTTTCTCAGAAATGTACAACTTTAAAGCGTTATAACTTCTAAACTAATTGTTATTTTGCAAAAACAACAACTTTGCCATAATACACACTCGAGATGCTAACTTTTTAGTCAGTAAAACAATTTTTTTTTGGCTGGAGAGGCCCTTAAAGTTTCTTTTTCATATCAGCATAAAATGTATATAGCTCATAAGATTCAATTGCATATTTATTTCTAAAGAATGTCACTACCCTTCAGCTGCCTTGTGAAATATATGTACCATTTGCAAGATTTTAGGGTAGCACCATTTTTCTTGAAAATTTCAGCCACTATATGACAACATTACTAAGTGTAAGGCAGTGTGAGAAATTGACTGTCTGTATTAAATAGAATTCAGTTATAACAACATCATTTTTTATAATTTATTTGTTTAATTATTTATTATATATATACATTAGTATCTTTATTTTTTATGAAACATGAACATTCTCTTCCTCTTCCTAATGCTTAAATCTTATTTTTTGCAGAGAAGAAGACGTCCCTTTCAGCTGCACATAAAAACAAAGAGCTGAGGTAATTTGGAGACCCATTTCATTTTTTTCAATAGCTCATGCTGCCAGAAAAAGCATCGAGAGAATGGCAACTCAAACATTAAAAATCAAAATTCTGTCTCATGAAAATGTATGCTGCTTGTAATTCCAAGATAATTGTTAGCTTGTTGAATTTATTCATTGTTTTACCATAATTAATATAAAGTTTTTCAAAGAAAGTATTAATATTATATTTTTGGGAGATATTTATTTATTGTTAGCAAATAAGTGCATCTTAGAATCGTAATGTGTAGACATTATATTGCTTATAGGCAAGAGGTTCAACAAGAGAAGACTCAGCTGCAGAGATTCCAGACACAAGCTAACCAAAAAATATCACAGCAGGTATGAAGGTGCCAATTCGCTTGATGTGAGGGACCCCTTGAATTACAGCTCTGTTAATTTCAAACACTGAAGAGAAAGTGTTGTTGATGGTGATAGGAAAGTCTTCCAGATACATCATCAAAAACTCCCAAATATTGTTTTTACTTTTTGCGACCACCCCTTGGATTTTTGCATGTTTATCTTGAAATGCGTTCACTTCATAGTCTTGGAAATAAATTTCTTCATTTTTTGTGTCCCATTGGAAATTTCTGTAAATTTCGTGATCATGGGATGGTCCTCGAACACCCTTTAGCTTAAAGTTGATAATTTTAACAAAACATTACATTTCTTTTTTCTAAAGCTTTATTAAAGCTTAAAGATAACGACTTTTGAATCATGAAATTGCCAACTAGATGGAATTGAAGAGAGCAAGTGGTTGCCTGCCTGTTTAAATGCTTACAACCAGCACTGATTATTGTTGGCCTAGGGCCAGGAATTTCTAGGACTCAATAATGAGTTAATTAAAAAGGTATTCGTGTCAGAGATCCTGCTACTTTCTAGAAATTTGTCTTCATCAACTAAATTTTTACTTTTAGCTAGTTAAATAATTTTAGTTTTGCAATATATTTTGGACTAGTGGAATGTCATGAAAATTTGATAAAATTTACGTAAATATAATGACCTGTTGATTTAAAATTTTCTTTTGTTTAAGGCTAATGAAATCCAGGCTTTGCAAAAAAGAATGGAAGCTACTCAAGAGAACCATCTACGTGAGATGCAGAATTCTCAAGGACAATTGCAAAAGATGAAAGAGTTACTGGAACAAACACCAGCGGTTGAACTAACAAGGTTGCAAGAGGTAAATTAAATAACAGTTGCTAAGATTGTTTATTGAAATTCTTGTTGCCGAAAGGTATGACGAAATCTTTCAATTAAGACACTGGTTTTGCAACGGGCAATAATTTTTAGAAGATCCCTTGTGCAATGCTCTAGGAAAGAACTTGTGTTGGGGCAAGTATCATGATGCGAGCTTCAAGATTCAGGCTGATTCGTATTCATGCATTTTTGTGAGCAATTAAGAAAAATCTAATTAAAGAAAAAATTAATGTCAGGGTAAATGGAATGAAGGATATCATCCTTTGGAATGTGTCTTTTAAGCAAACTTCCGATTTGGATTTTTCAAAAAGATGTAAGTGGACGCTCTGTTTGCATTGTGCTAATTTCTCTTTCCTACTGCAGGAAAGTTCATTATACAACAATGCTTCACTCCGAATCAAACAGTTGTAAGTAAAGATTTAATTTTCTCTCTCTTGTTCTGTTTATAGACATATATATGTTTCAAAAGGCCTTTCTTACTGTGTTCCGTTCTCCCGTATTTTGGAACCGTTGTAGAAGTGGTTAACTGCCTTTGTGAAATTGTTAGTGATTTTCACGTAACATTTAAAAAATGTTTTTTAATTATAACCAACTTACTTCCAAGCCCTCAACAACATTCAAAACGCTTGCTGTTTATTTGAATGCATATTGCTGCGAATGTTTAAGCCTAAAATCAGTATTACGTCTTACCTTCCTTTGTGGTCATATGATGCTACATCAGAATAAAAGCTGAAAGCTGCTGAGCAAAGTCCATTTTCAAAAAAACAGAAAAGATTTTTAGAGTATTTATGGTCATACACAAAATAGAATATCGAGATCTTATTTACTGTAATCTTAGAGAAACGTTAGAAGCAACTTAAGGCAAGGAATTGTGAATTTGTTTTGTTCTTGATAGCAACGTGCCAAGAATTGTCAAGCTCTAGAAATTTTCTTTGTTTGATGATAATCGGTAGAGAGGATATAGCTATTGTTGGATTTATTGTAGAAGAATCATTCGGTTCTTGAGGTTTGATTAAAAGATGCTGTCTAGAGGGATCAAATGACCTCAATTGTTTGCATTTTGCGTTATTCCTAGGACTGATGAGAAAAATGCATTGTTGCAAACGTCAGCAGCTTTAAGAGCAGATCTTGAATCTACACGTGCCAATCTTCAAAATTATCACCAACAGCAGAAACATTATGAAGAAAAGCTTAAGGCTCTTGAAAGTGAAGTGAAAAACTTGCAGCACTCAAAGGTAGGCCATCTAAGGTTTCCCAATGTGTGCTAATAAAAAAAATTCTGAACTTTTTATAGCATTTTGCTGTATGTCCCTACTTGGTAAACTGGCTCCTCTTTGAAGTTCAAATAGATTGTTGTAGATCAGAAGAAAGCCACTCATAATTATTGAGAAATACTTTCAGCTAAAGGGCTAGGTCGGTTTCAAGCTGCTTGAGATTGTTGGACAAGGCTTCTAGAGGCGCTCTTTGCTAGTTGATGCAGTTTCGTAGTAAAGTGTCTTATATCAGGTTTTTTCCTTTCCTTTTTGGTAGGGTGATTCTGAAGCCGTGTACTCGAGCAGGCTGGCTGAAGTTAGCAAGCAGCTGGAACGATCTGAAGCTGAAAACAAGAATCTATCAGATAAACTTCATCAGGCTCATAAGAATTTAGGAGAGACCGAAAAATCCAGACAGGATTTGGTTGAGAAGTTAAATCATGCCGCAAAGGAAACTTCTGGTGGTAAAGAGCACGAACTGAAATTGGTTCAAACTGAAGAAGAACTTGAAAATGTGAAATCTGCCCTTAAAACTGCTGTAGATAAAGTAAAGCACTTTGAAGAAACTGAAGCAAAGAATTCTGAACTCTTGAAGGTAACAAAATAATTGAATGCTCTCATCATCTGTCTAAAATGTTTTACTTTGCAGAAACTTTTGGGTAATGTTTTGTGACTGCTCTTTTTGTTTTAAAAGCTTATATAACCTGAACTATTTCTTTACAGAAATTGGCTGATGAGAAAATTGAGCTACAGGAAAAACTGAAAAGGGATGAGATTATTATTGTTGAAAAACAGCAGTCAAATGGAGATGTGGCAGATTCAGGTGTTTCACAACAGGAGCACATGCAACTGTGAGTTTTATGAAATTATCGCTTCTAAAAAGCACCCGAATTTCCTTTGCGAAACAAAGAACGATCAGTATAAAATCACGCCTTATATGTCTTTGAGCATACAAAAGTAAGTGTTTTATCCTATGTATTATGTTCTGTGTCGCAGGTAGTACACAAGAAAATGTACGTTTAGTAGGAACGTAACAAAGCATATATCAAAGCGTACATTCTTACAGCATGGTTCTCTAATCAGCTAATTATTCTAATTAATGCAATGGTAAATTAATATATGCATAAATCACAACATTACATCTCCCCCTAGCTTGAATTTAAAGTCCAGTTGTCTAAATTCTAATGATTACAAAAATGTTGGTAGCAAGAAATTAATGTTCACAAATACTACAATTTAATCTAACGATCATAAATTTTTTGTCCACATCCTTTTACTTGCCTTCTAATTCTACGTGGATTTCGATGTTCAAAATTCATTTCTTCGTAGGAACGTAACAGAACATATATCAAAGCGTGCATTCTTACAGCATGGTTCTCTAATTAGCTAATTATTCTAATTAATGTAGTGGTAAATTAATATGTGCATAAATCACAACATTACACTATGTAGATCTACGCAGTGTTTGCCAGTGATAAATAAATTCCCGGGGGAAGTATTAGTTTAATTCATCTTGAAGTCACAGTCTGTTCTGTCGATTCTCAGCTATCTGTTTCAAATTACTAAGCCTTTTTTTAGATAATATTCAATCATCATGCCATGCTTTTTTTTAAAAAACGCGATCAGTTCTTTTGGACATCCGGCAAATACCTCTTGCATTGTGTTTTAAAACACGACCTTGCACCTTAGATATCTCTCTCAAGCTACTTAGCTAACTCTTTAATTCTGGTAGTCGTCAGTGTTGTAGCCTCTTCTGCTAAGTAAAACTAAGAATAGTTTTCATAGAAATGTATTTCGAATTTATTTTCCGGGAGAAAGAATGAACTGCTAGAAAGAATGGAATTCGTCCTATCTTTACACAAAATTGCTAAGGTACTGCTATTTCCTAAATTGATTTTTCAATAGGATATAAGCTGTATCTTACTTTTCGCCATTCACATTTAAATTATGTTTGTTTCCAGAATAACAGAAAAAGATAAAGTGATATCGGAACTCAAAGAAGATGTCAAGTCAACAAAGGAGGAGCTTGAAAGACTCGCCAAGGTGCTGGAACAGGAAAAGCACGAAAAGGACGAAAATGTGAAAACATTGCAGGAGAAATTGCAGAACCAGGAAGAGGCCATTGCAGAGCAGAAAAAAGAAAACAAGAAAATGGAAGAAGTTGTCGAGATGTCAAAAAGTAAGAATAATGTAAGTCGATCGGCATCGGGATGTATTTTCTGCTTATTTTTGGACATTAACCGACCTTGATACTCTGACGAGTGTCGGACGAAAAGCACTTTCGTGTGATATGTTTTCGCTCTTCCGTGCTTTTTTGATTTTGCGGTACTTAAGGCTTATTCAGTATATATAAATTGATGTAAATAGTTATCACCTTGTCGTTTTTTACATTTTTGCCATAAAAGGCGGATGGTTTTTTATGGGTAGGATGAAAAGTATGATTATTTTTTATATTCTGCAAGACTGACAGCTGGAATATTTCATAATCTTGTTTATACGTTTGGCTAGCACCTCTAATTCGTATACATTACTTCATATTACTCGCATCTAACCTAGAGGTTGATGTATCTTCGTAGAGAACTAGAATTTTCTCTATATCCTTTGACTCAAGGCAGTATCCAGTAATGGGTTATATTTGATTTTCAGGATTTGCGAGAAAAGAATTGGAAAGCAATGGATGCTTTGTCAACAACTGAAGCTAACTGCAAGAAAAAGCTGAACGAGAACCAAGAAAGAGTATTTGTAAGTTAACGAAAATAACTTTCGATCTAAAGAAAGGCTACAGGTTTAGTGTCAAATGGAGATGTTATCCTTTAAGCAGCATGGCTAAATATATATAGCTTTTATAGATAATCAATGATTTGTACGTTCAGCGTGTTGTACGTCGATTTTGTAGATGGATGTCTTAATTTTTGCTCATTACGCATTTTTATATATCGTTTCATTGAGTGAGTATGTTTGGAGAAGAGTACGTTTCACTGCTGTTTGGAGAACCATTCCATTTATTTAACTCCATATAAGTATTTCTGCTGAAACAGTGACGATGTTTATGAGAAGAATATACTAAGAGCTGCCTTCTTCCTGCAGAAAATGTTGAAGAAAATTCGCCCGGAGATAAAGCTTGAAAAAGATAAGGTAGGATTTGCTCGCATTCTTCTTTGTCAATTTTCTAGTAACCTGTATCAAGTAAAAGGATAAGACATGTATCAAAAAAATGTTGTCCTTAGCAGTGGAGTTATTTTATATACATGATTCCAAGAAAAACGTCACATTACATATTTAGTCATTTAGAAATCATTCTTTTGATTCTAAATTACCTTGTAAATGACACACTCTTATATTATTTCTCGCTTGTTCCCAGCCTCTTCCAGATGTCCTTTCATCCTTCGAAGAAGAGTTTTTAAAATCTGATAAGAAAAAAAGGGTGAGTATTCAAAGTTACAATTGGTTGAGAAGTATGACAGGTTAAATGAAACTTGCTAGGCTTGTTATTTAATTATCACTACTTCGTAGGGTTAATTTCTTTATATAAGTAGTATAAGTAACACTTTTTGTATTTGACTGCGCCAAAGGTTTACTTCAATAACTAATGATGTAAATTGTTCTTGATAATAGTATACTATATTCTTGATTTAAACTTTTTGACAGTATTGGTATTTGGAAGAGTAAAATAATAGTTGTAAATTTATCCAATTTCTTTATAATAGTATAAGTAATAGAAATGCTATTAGAAAGAGTAGCGGGCTAGATGATATTGATGATAATAGCAGTAAATTTACGTGATTTTTTACTATAGTATTATTTCTAGTGTTTGCGTAAAATATAGTAATAGGTTATGTATTTTCGATAATGATTGTTGTAAATTTACCAAAATTCTTTGTTATATATAGTGTTTTAGTAACAGTGTTGCCAATAGAAATATTAATAAGATTTAAAAACTGTACTGAATTTACCAATAATTCTTAATAAAAATATTATTGAGAATTCTTCTGATCAGTATTGAGCGTAAAGTCAATATTAAGGTTGATGATTACCACTTCAATCCTACTTAATGGAAGAAGCAAGTAATGCGTGCATAGCTCCATCCCAGACACAACTCAGTTATCGATTGCACTTGAACTTGTTTTGTTGATTTGTATCAACATTTTTCATAGTCACGTGATTCTGGATCAAGTAGCAGCTCAGGCAGTGACTCGGACAGTGATTCGGACAGTGGCTCCAAGAGCGTCAAAAAATTGAAGAATGAAAACGAAAATTTAGTGCAAAGCAATAAAAGTCTTGAAAGTAAATTGGCAGATTTAATGAAAGAGGTGAGACTTGATATTTTTATCTTTATTCTTATGCTTTATCATCCCATTTCCTTTATGTTTTAGGAATACATAATTTTTTGACTTGGTCAGGCTTCTAAGGAACTGAAATTGCTATCGACCAGCAACCGCAGGACTTTTCAACTTGTTTTTAATGTAAGGATACTGTTATCTGAAAATAGAAATATATTGGAAAATGGAAGGCATATTAGTTTTTACATATTATCCTTCTTTCTGCGGAAAAAAAGATTTTGTGAAGTGGCTTATGTTTAAATAGAGTAGCATCAAAGTGGCATGTTTGTGATGCATGTATTTGATCACAGTTATAGCCAATTCTATCATGCTTTGTTGCTCAATTTCCTGGTGTTTTTATCAAATCTTGAATATTTATGATTGTTTTCAGAAATCAACTTTAGAAAAAAATCTTGAAGAGGTTTCTGGAGAGAAGGAACAGCTAAAACAATCTGCAGAAGAAAACAAGAGTGCGAATGTACAAGCCCAATACTACAAAGGCATTCTTGAGCAAACGGTGCGTTTCACAGTTCTGCCATATGAGATACATGTCGATTAGAATTTTGACAAGTGTTGTTTTGCTCTGCTTTTTTAGTCACTTGGCAAAAGTATCCTCGGTGCAGAGAAAAACTAAATTGGTATTATGGCTTAATGTTCAGTTCAGCCATGATACTACTTTTAGAAATATGTCTTTAAATACTTTATATAAATGCTAGCCTTTCACTTCTTTTAATGTCCAACTTTTTAATGTTGTATGAATCTTGCTTGTCAATAATTAAATAATCCTCTGCCTTTTTGCATTCTATGAATGTTGGAGTTTGTATGAATCACTTTTAGTAATTTCTGAATGCTTTTTGTACTCTCAAATGAAAATGACAATAAACACCAACATGTCTGCCATAGATAGAAATAAACAATTTGAAAGCTTCTTTTGCACCATCATTTTGAGGGTTCTGTTGTTATCCACATTAGGAGGGAATGCTCAAGGAGCTACAGGTTAGCGTCGAGTCACGTGTCTCCAGCTACGAAAGCAAGTTAGAATCAAAAGAATTGGAATTGAAACAGGTATGACGTCATTTTTATGAAATTAGCACGCGTCTCTTAATTCCATTTAAGTTCATTTGTTCATTTGATACCTTTGAACATTCATTCGATGCCCAAACGGAAGAGACCCTGACAATGTTTGTTTTCATTACTTTAAAGTGAAAATATCCCAAGAATAATTATGAAATAATTTTTGTGAGCCCTCTTGTAGATAATAGCGTTAAGCAATTTTCTTTGGGAAATATTATCCACATAAGAACTGCCATCGTCATTATTAGAAATAGTAATTCAAGATTTCCTTCCCCATGGATCCTACAGAGGAAGGTTGGTCTTTTACAGATAGATTCTGTGTATTTTCTACTCATAACTGATAAAGGCTCCTAAATCGGGTGTCCGAGAAGGGTATAAGGATTTTCCTTCTGTCCGCAGGTATCCGAGAAAGTAAAAAGACTTGAAGAAGAGATAAAGAATAATGACGACAAGTCACAGGTAAATAGATGATCCTTTCCAATTGGTGCTCTAGCCTGTTTTTGCGTACAGTCTCCTATTAAGAATTCTTCCTGCTTTTTGCTTGATGTTGCAAAAGAATTTATAACGCCTTCTGTGTTGCGAATTTTTGCCTCAACTCTATCAACACCTCAATTGTCAATTGCTGTCTTGTACACCTTCTCTGAAATGTTGATTCAAGATAAAGAAAACCTGCTGGTATTTGTACCATACAAATTTTGGCTATTGGTATCAGTTCATCTAAGCTTTGTTGCCTTTAATTCCAGCTTGAAAAAGACTTGAGCAATATCCAGGCAGAGCTAGATTCAGAGAAGAAAGCTAAACACGAGCTTGAGTCAGAGCTTGAAGAGGTAAATAACCTTATTTTCGATCACCATAGAGCTTTCCAAAATGCCGTGGTTCCACCCAATTTGCCGTCACTTCTTCATTTCTCGGTATCTTTATTGACCAATCAAATCATTACCATCTCCCGAAATTTGAAGCCTACTTAACCTGTTTTTATAAGTAATCTTCGGTCATAAATGACATGACGAAAATATGGCTAATGTGTTGCTTATTTATAGGCCAAGAATAGGATTCATTTATTAGAAGAGGTAAACGAACATGGCCACAGTGAGGATAGTATTGGCCTATCTCAGGTGAGTTATCAAAGAAATGCAAAGCTTTATCGCCAGATACTCTCTTTTTTGTTGATCGAATAATGCTACTGTTCATCGTGCGTATTTCAATCGCACATGCTATTGCTAAATAGAGTCTAGGACAAAGCCATGTTTAGTTTGTGTAGCTGTAGCAATTAATGTTTTCTTCTAGGTAATAATAGGCACTATTGCTGTAAGAGCCTGTTCAAATTGTCCAGCCTTTGCACTCTCCTTTGTATTTTGTTATTGTCGACTTCCTTACACAGAAATTGAGACACAAATTTAAACAGAAATCAAGAAACTGTTGTATTTGTTTTTCATGTTTTTCATATCCTCTGTATTTGTTTTTCATGTTGAGTGTTGTCTCTTGGATTTTTAGTGTCAATAAGCCTGCACTCCTTTAGATTTAGAAACCTGTAATTTGTCCTATGATTATGCACCCAAGAGGACGTTCTTATACTAATTCGCATCTCGTTATAACGCATGCACACGCACCAATTCACAAATACACATGCACTCCATTCTCACAGCAACAAGCTGTTGCAACTTACAGTACTAATACTAACGCATCTTCGAGAGTCGCAAGCTTAAAGAGAATTTTGTATTGTCTAGCCCTTGCGTATAACCGTTCTTAATGCATTTTAGGAATCTTTAGATACAAGTGGAAGCGCATCTCCTAAGAAAAAGAAAAGTATACGCCATGCTTTAAGCAAAGCGTTTCGTAAAAAGGTTGGTGCAGAGAAAGGCCAGTCAGTTTTTGACGCTGGCCTTAGAATGTCCTTGCTTCGATTTATTTCATTCGGTCGCATTCATAATGATGCGTTATAGCATCCATAAATGGCTCATCCCTTTCAAGGGTTGAGTTACTCAATGTTTTCATTCGTTTCTTTTTAAACGCAAATCACGCCTCCTCCCCGTCTTGAAAAGAATCTTCTCGTGTTTTCAGAGCTCTAGTTTTGAAATTTATTCTATAACTACCTAGCTTACTAACAAACTAAATCCTCTATCCAACCACCCATTGTTTCATTGGCATTTAACAGATTTGTTCATCCATACACCTATAATGGAATCATCATTCAATTTTTCATTCATTAAATTATTCATTTTTCCAATTGTTCATTCATCCAATTGTTCATTCATTCATTCAATCATTCATTCATTCGTTCGTTCATTTATTCCCTTAACTCATTTCATCCATTAATTTGTTCATTCATCCCATTTAGATGACTGCACTGGCTATGCCGTGTCTGCTTTCATATGTCTTTTCATACCCTTAAATGTGGTTGATTTATAACGCTTGAATGTTAACGGTAACATAGAGCATCTCATTTTCTGCCCTTTGCCACATACACATTGAATGACTGTAAACAGCGTCATTGTTGCAACACAAACAGGCTGCGTATTTCAAAGAAACAAGTCTCAACCACCCACGGAATCAAATGTGTTTCCTTCTGAGCTATGCTTTCATAGGGAAAGATTGCTATGATATGTTTTTAAGACGTTAATTCGGCTTGTTTTGCATCACCTTGTATCGAATGAAGTATTTATATCAATGTGTTTAAAGATCTTTCGTCTTTTTTGTAAACTGTATTGTATCCATAATGTTTTCAGTTCTTTGTTAACGTTTTGTTGATTTGTTTAAATTGATGAACTGCTTAGATTGTTTACAAAACATTTGTACAACGATTGACAAATATTTCAAAAATATTTATGGTGATTTTGTGAAGGAAGTTTTATAATACCGTTGAACTAATATATATTCCCATGGCTTTTTTGAATTGATCTCGCCCGGAGGAACAAAGAATCATTTCAGAGTTTGCAAAGAGTTTTAGACTGATGGAGCTCTTCCTCTGGAGATGCCTCTACCGTTTACTGTTTAAGAAAAGCTCAAATTTTCACAGCTGGTAAAAGATTCGTGTTCCCTTAATAACTGCCCAGGTTGTCAAGGGTTGCCATGAATCTTTAAAATTTTCAATAATTCAAATGTTAGTTAATTCATTCTTTACGGGCGGTGGACTTTCATGATACTTAATTTGCAGTTAGGCTCCAAATTCTTACCACTTCACCTTCACCTCTGGTGATTGAAATCAAATAAGGAAGCGGTATTTTGTTACTCGTTGCCTCCGAAGGGCAAGCGACACAGATATTAATATACTTCACCATAAACTAAGTAAATCTATTTAGAAACGGAATGAAATTAAGATTTAGGTGGTTTTTGACACTTCCTTGATTCGCAAATTCCTTTTAGGCTGAAAGTCCTGATGAGCTCAGAAGCAAATTTGCAGCTGCGGAGGAGAATTTAAAAAAATTAGAGGGTGAGAAGAAGGAGCTTCTGGATAAGTTAGGCCAAATTTCAGATTCGTTCAAATCGAAGGAAGAGGAGATCACAAAGCTTAACGAAGGGAAGCAGGCCATAGACAAAGAAATGAAGAAACTGCAAGAGAAACTTAATGCAGTTAAGGATGCAGAAAATGTCTCGGGAAAGAGCGATAAAGAGAAGGACAAAATAATTGCAGTGAGTTAATGTTTATATTTTATCATTGTAACATTGAACTGAAGAAATGTATGTGATCGCAGTGAAAGGCAGTCACTTTGTTGCTTCAACAGCAATTTAAAGATGAATCTTGCGAATAACAATCGATGGATAACAAAAGGCTGCTTCGTAAAACTTTTCTGCCAGGAATAGGCCTGACAATTTTATATTGCAACACAGGGATGGATGCAATTACCAATACAATTATTATTGTTATCTATTTATTTAAAGTAGGCGTATAAAATAGCTACAGAATTAAAGCTAATTCAAGCCTACTACAAAGTAAAATTGTTTAAAGAATAAATACCCAATTGATGGATGCAAAAACTAATATAAATACAGATGCCATATACTTTTGCAATGTTTTTAATATTCTCGATTTCTTGAAATGATTCGATGTTTTGAGGTCAGCTCAGCCCCCCCCCCCCCCCCCCCCGCCCCCCCCTCTCCCTCCTTCCTGGGACCTGAAAATATTCTGAGTCACAGAGGACTATAGAGTTCTGCGTATCTTGTGTGTTTGGATGCGGACGGTAGAACAGGCATGAAAACTCTGCACGTGGAAGAGTTATTATCCATCCAGTTTTGGACCATGACCCGATTTATTAAGTTGTAACACGCCGCTTGACGCTTATCTTCTTGTTTCCTTCTCGATCAATAGCGCGTTTATTTGCAATATTAAGTAGATTCATATATCTGTTATATGTGCTACACAGGAACTAACTACCCAGCTGATAACTGTAATCATAAATCGAGGCAAGCAGAATAGACTTCTGTTCTAGCTCGTTCGTTGATCTCTCTTGTATGTCATTAGCTTCTAATCTTCAGCTCATTTAGTCAATATAATCCACGCGCCTGGGTCGTAAATTTGCGTTACCCTGGTTGTTTCTTGCAAGGGTTTAGTAGCTTCAATCTTTGTAACTTTTACAACTTCAACGATAAAACCACTAACCAGCTAATCATCAGGAAAGCTCTTACTGTGATTGCGTAAACTAATCTTTTTGCATAAGTCAATACATTTTTAGATAGCGCAACGCCGTCTATTCATTAACAATATGCCAATGATATAGAGCTTGAAAGGCTGAGATTTCTGTCGATATGGGAGAAGATTGCTATACAATTAAAGGTAAGACCGTATTTGTAAGTTGACTGGAATTTAAAGAATAAATTATTCTGAGAAGAAGACCGTCGATCGCATGTGTATTCTCATAACCCGAAGAAGCCTAAACAAGTCGCGCCCCCCCCCCCACCCCAAATACATGATGCAGCTTTCTGTGCCACATTGCAATTAATGTCACAGACAATGCAAGGGTGTTCACTGTTCCATCAAAATGGTAGCTAATACTCTAGTAAATGGTACTACTTTCGATTTCTTGGTATGTATTATCGACCAAGGAAGACTTCCACCAAGTAAGCGTCCCAAATCTCACCCGCCGTCAGCGACGCCGCCGTAATTTTTACCAATGCTGATTAATGTATTAAAAATCCTACGAAAATCATTTTTCTTACCATATTTTCTTGAATAGAAGCGCCGGATTCAATTTTTTTTTCGATTCAAAGGTGGCTTCTCTTTTTTCCCCGAAAGCATTTCATTTACAAAATTCAAAAATTTGATTGTTGCTCAACCTTATTTACCCAGTTTGCAGAATTACAGGCCTAAGTATGCCACAATGCTCTCGCAAGGTCCCAAATTGATGGTAGTGTGAAGGGCTAAACCCTTGGGCTCCTGTTTAAGGGCAGCTTACAGTCAAGTGTGACTTTTATATTTTACTTCGAAAAAGCGTCTTCTTATCGAGGGCGGCTTGTATTAGTAAGCTGTATTTGATAGTTCATAATCCTAAATGTACCATTCACCACATTTGACAGCATTCTTTAAAGGTTGTGTGTAGTCTAAAGTGTATTTAGCATTTGATTTTGATCGCTAACCCCAGCTAACCGCTACGTCATGATCAAAAACATGCATGCACAGTCACCCCCATCTCCGTCTTCGTCTGTCCCACAGAAACTGAGGCTAGAAAATGCTGAATTGCTGGATGATCTGCGCGAGGAACGGGATAGAGTTGTTGTCGACGTTGAATCAGTAGTGAGTATGCAATTAATTTGTAAGACACATTCCAAGTCACTGACCAACAGTCACTCAAAAGGCTGCAGTTGTCGTTCTACTTTGTCGTTCTATCAACTTCGGTATTGTGTCACATTTCTTTCGCACTATGTTTTGTGACCTGATTTGTTTTCTATGTAAATATGCTCCACACCTTTTGGAGGTAAGGTATGAGAGAATACCGATATTGCAAACTTGAAATTGTGCATGGACCTGTAAACGCCTTACTTGCACGTAATCGCCACGTGCTTGTAAATGCACTAGTTACACATAATCGCCTCACTTGCACTCAAACGCTAAACGCCCATCCTGCACGTAGACATACAATATGTACATCACCCACACTCCACATTAAACCCCCCACACTGCACATAAACACCCCCGCACAAGAATTTCCGCTTGCAGATCCCTCCCCCGATCACTCAGTAGCAATTTTTCTTTCTGTCGGCCAATAACGTTCTTATGTTTGTATATTTTGCCGTGCACTTTGAAATAAGATGTTTCCTTCGAGCTTGCAAATACAAAAGGGCCTAATAGCATTTAAAATTCCTCTTTATTTCTACGAATTCGCTTACGGAGTTGCTAATTTTTCAAGGACACGTTCCTAATATATTTGCTTTGACTTTTGTGTTGTATTGATTATTATTATGTTGGTTGTCAAGTTACTTAACAATATTTATTTTCAATCTTTATACGTTGAATGTTATCGGTCTGTGTTCCGGTAAGCATCGGCCGTAATACTCATTCGACAAAGCTTGACGACCAAAGAAGAAAGTTGCTTATGGTCTTGATGGCTGCAAAGTCACTTTCCTTGCTTCTCCCTCGAGTGGCATTTGCTTTTGTTAGTTACACTTAGAAAATTTCCAAACATTGCTTTTAACCGGTAAGTAAAAGATGACGGCACCTTCCAAGCGTCCACAAAGCCTAGGCTATGGCACTCGATTATGTCCCATAATCGCAAATAGCATATCTATTTGTTGTTTTGATTTAACATGGCTAGCAACAGGATCGGCATGAGTCAAAGAAAAAAACTCCTGCAACATGTCTAATTAGTTCAATATAAGTTAAAGATCTAAAGCTTATTTGTTGCTCCATTAAATTTTCGCAACTTGAGCTGTTGATGATGACTTTTCGCTCTTGTGCAGGACTCAGAAAAATTAAAATCCGAACTTGAGGTGCTGAAGGACGACTTCGAAAAGGAAAAGAACACCTCTAGCAAATTGAATTCGTCCATTCAAGAGGTAGATTATTTTCTTCTTTTATATCTTTTTTGTTATCTAATCAAACCTTTATTCTTTGTTTCATATTTAGCATTTTGTATTGTAATCAGTTGTTGTATTAATACTTAGTATTTAGCAGTTCTTTTTGTATAGAAAGGTCTTTTTGAAATGCCTGAGGGTCTAAATTTCCAGAAGAGATCTCATTTCTCTCCATCATAACTATATTTCAAAATTTCCTTGTATACATATCGATACAGTTTCTAGTATTGCAGGTAGCCAGGAAATGGCGAGTTTTCTTTTTTTAAGAGCTGTTTTGGTCAAGTTTGAAGAATTTGATTATAAAATCACCTTGTTGGTGGTGACCGTATCCTACCTTGTGATGAATTTATGGCGCCGTTTAGGCTTTTGTGAGAAAATTTTAAGTAATTTAATATCGGGAGTGGTTAGGCCATTAGAGTATGCGAGCTTGAAAAGCGCAAAGCTGCAACCAAAGCCTTTTCCACCATAATTCTGCCCTGAATCCTCCAGTCAGAACTCTGTCCAAGGTTCTTTAACCGGAACTTCGTTCAGGGTCTTTCAACCATAACTGGTTCCATTCTTTTGAATAAAGCTATGGTAACTGGAACTCGTCCTTTCAAGACAGTTCTTTGGAGGGCTGTTTGATTTCAGAAAACGTTGAGAAGAGCTTGCTTTAATAAGTTTAATTTTCCAGGAATAGAAATTGTGGTTAATTTGTTAGTTTTTGGCAGAATTTATTGTTTCAAATCCACATTTTTCCTTATGGTTTTGTTTTATTTTAGCTTGAAGAACAGCTTGAGAAAAAACGGCTAGAGCTGGATCAGGTAATTTTTCAAAAATCGGAACCAGTTTTATCTATTTCATGTCTAATTCACGATTTTTTTTATTTATGTAATTTATTGTTAACATGTACTCTGTTCTGGATTTTCAACTTAATTACATTTTTAACAATGCTTTAAATAACGACATCTCGTATTGTTCGCGTCGTGTTTCGACATGATTCGTCAGAATTTTGATTGGTTTTTCTTTTCTTTTCTTTTCTAGCTACAGCAAAAATATAAGGGTGCTGCCGATAAGTTGGTCGTTGCTGAGCAAAGGTCGAAGGTGGGAAAAGAACATTTTTCTTGACTTATTTGACAAATAATTAAAACTTATGGTAGAACATGCCCTAATGGAAGGCATCCTAAAGTCTTGCATTTTCTGAACTTTTGTTGTTGTTTTTGTTTTGTTTTTAAAGTTTTGCTGCTCACATGTCGCTTAAATCAGTTACTTGGCGAAAACCCAGAAAAAACAGTATAGCCACTCCACTCCCCCTCATGTTGACTAAAGCCAGAGCTTCTTGTACTAACCCCACGTTGCAGAACGTGAATAAAAACTGCAGGAATAGTTTCGTCTGTGATGTTTCCATGGCTTGTTTCTCTTGCTCACGCGACGGAAGTACAAGCATAGAAAGAAAATCCTTGATACCTACATTTCTTCACTAACCTTGAAAGTTTCCATTGAATCAGCTAAGTTTTCAAATCGTAAGGCCCGTTTACCAGACTTTATTTTTGAACTAAGTAGCATGACCAAAAGATGGAACATCTTTGAAAGAGGCTTCGAGATCAAATAAGAAGGGAAAATGGTATGCTTATGGTTATTTAATGGACCTAATTTCATTTATGAAGTTATTGGAAACAGGCGGTCGATTGACCATTTTTGGAAAAAATTATACGGAAGAATCTTTGGAGATGTTATGGGGGATTTGATTGATAGCATCTGCCGAGATATGTTTTGCATTTGCCTTCATTCACATTGCATACAAATGTAAACAGCCGCGGAGAGATAGAATGATCATTAATTTATTAGGAAACGAAATATGGATTGGGTGGGAGGATTTGATTGGAGGAGAGCACTGCTGAAATGGAAACCATTAAATTCAACATTTCAAGGCTGAACTTCCGAAGGTTTCTCCAGAACATGTCGCTTCAGTTACCTTTCCTAGTAACCACTTTCCATGAAATCCATCATTACTAGTTTTCATTCTTGACCCTTTTAAGTTTAAGACTTTGACCTGCGGAAGTAGAACCAGCCTTCAAATGCGATTTATTGAATTCACATTTTCATACTGTGGTTTTGTCAGAGTAAATGCTTCAATACCTACAGGCAAAAAAATTTTCAGTTGAGTTTATATAATCCAATTAAATATCAGATGTTATCCTTGTCGTATTTATGCCCTAAGTTATTGACACTCTTACCTAATTCTTGGCCCTGTGCGTAGAAAAACAACTGTTACCAGTCCTAAGACTCAAATTTTCAGATCAGTATTCGACGCCAAAGAACCTTTGCTATCGAAAGGCCCCCAAAATATCGCTCCCTGGATATTTTTTCCAGACTGCTTGACGGGTATTATTAATGATTTTGATTCATTCCTGGCTGTTGCTTTGTAAATGAACTAATCGAAACTAAAATCTTCTTGTGCTAGTTCAACCGAAAATTTACCGCAGAGTGTTAACTACGAGTATCAGACCACATTGAGGGTAGTTTAGGTCAGAACATTCGTAACATTGTTATTTGTTACTCTAAGTGGGCAAGATAACATCAGCGAGTCACTGTTTCATTATCCTCGTTTGGTAAGCACTTTTGCCACAGCATTTTTTCCCTTATGATTGAAGAACAATTTTATTAGATAAAAAAACCAATGATTAACCAGTTCCCATAACATAAAACACGGGCTTGACACGCTTTCGAGAGAATGATTTCTTCTGAAGAGCATCTACTGAGTAAACTGTTTGATGATTCTCATGCATTCGAGCTTGCTTTCGTTTGCATTTTCATAGTGGCATATTTTTTGCTTTGACTTCGAGGATAGCCTCACTTTCAGATTAGCCTTCTTTTGATTTCCAACAGTTGCACTTGATAGCACGCAGCTTTTAACCCTGCTTTTTTCAGTCAGATTTTATTTAAGTGAAACATTTTCAAATATTTAAATTTTTTTATCAGCGGCTTCCTGTTTCAACGCTGCCTGTAAACTAACCCAATGTAGTTTATCTTGCCTTTAGTGCAAAAATCTTACACGCACCTGGTTTCTTCCTGCCTTCTCCTTTGACTTAAGTGCATGTCACACTAACAGTGCATTGGGCGTAAAAACGTGCTAACTGAGAATTTTAATCTTTCCAGGAATTAGAATTAGCTGGTCTCACTAAATCAGAACGGATAGAAAAAGAGATAGATGAAGCCATTCAGGTATTTTCCCCCTCTGTGTGATATCTAAAGCTTTAAAGCTGCTTTTAAGAAAATGATTTCCTTTGAAAAGAACAAACTGAAAGAAGAAAAAGATTACTCCCAAATGTTGTCCAGCTTATTGTGAAAATTTTGAAACAAATCCTTGATTCATTCTAAATATCTTAAACAAAATGCTTGTTAGTTCAAGATAGCAGTTAAAGATATTGAATAACTTAATCTGTGATAAATACTAAATAACTAAATAAATTTATCTGTGATATTGGGTAGGCCTGTATTGGGTAAGTAGTTGTGCACTTTGCTCGGGTATTTTCTCTTGTGCCCGTAAATCAGGCAGTTTATGCAATGTTGCAACAAACCCCGTGGAAACCTTATGCCCCACCCACAAATTTATTCTAAATTGCTTTTATATAACTATATGATAAAACAATATTATCCTTCTTTCCAACTTTTATATAACATTAATAGTCAGAGTATTGAGTAATGTTAAATTATAAGAATGTTGAATTATCAGTCTGATAAATAAAATATTCAGTAAATGTAAAGATTTAAACTTTTATTGTTATGATATGATGCTGGACTCTTATCTTAAGGAGGCATTGAATGTGGCAAGCAACTGTCTGTTCTGGTCTTAGTGGGATCAGATGCACTTAAAGCATTGTTATTATTGGCACGCCTAACTTCTTCATACTAACCACTCACTAATAACTCAAATGAGCTTCAGGACAGGCAATTAATCACACTTTCACTTTAGCAACGTTCAAACGTTTTAAGGTAGCGTTCTACGTCGCATTTCAGCTTTGTACCGCGTTATTTAAGGGAGATAAATGTTTTAAAACTTTGAAGATGATTGGCACTGAAAATTGCGTGACTAATTTTTGAAAAAACGAGAATTAAGCATGTATTGAAAAAATGATCTTAAAGGCGCTTCCCAAATGTGTTTAATATGTTTCAATATGAACTTTGAAAATAGCTAGTTGCTTCAAATGAAGAATAATTAACCCGTTTAAGTTAATGAATATTCCTTGTTTAAAAGGGGAGAATAATTAACCAGAGTATATTTCGCCGTAACTCCCAAGTTTCATATCTAATTTCACTATGAAGTGTGTGATTCACCATTTTCCAAGGATGGTTTTTACATAAAGATAGTGGCAAAGCAGAAGAAGAAACTTTGTTTACCCATCCTTTCTCGTTTAGTTCGGGTACCTAAATGCGTTTTCTCTATATTGAAAAGGCCTGAATTCCTAGGCCTATCTTCTTTGCTAGTATAAAGAAAGTTTGCTTTTTAACTTCCCCCCTTCCCCCCCGTCCCCCCCCCCGTTTTCTATTGATCTTACATTAGGGAGGACATCTTTATATAATTAGAATCTACATCTTAACCACAATTATACCTATTTTGTCTCAACTAACAATTTCTGTTGGGAAACAGATGTTTAGATTTGATATGTAAGACTCTCTTCGCAAAAGTTTGTATTGCCAAATGCATTGGTTGTAGGAGTACTGTTTGCAGTAATTGGTGTTGGCCCTAATAAGCCTAGGTCGAAATTCTGAAACTATGCAAAATAGATATTTGCTGGACATGGCTGCTGCAGATAGCTGCAGAATTATTACCCATAAGTTTTAAAGTTTTTCATGATCATTTATTAAAAGTTCAACAGTTTGCTTGGCCGAAGCTTTGATGTAATCATTTTTGAGTAAAGAATATTTAATAACTCTACCAGATGAGCCCCCTCCCCAGTGCTTGAAAAAAGAATATTGTATCGTTTTTAATAGTAGTTTTTGTTTAAAAAAAAGCAAAACCTTCCTGTTTGCTTTTGTAGGGTGATAATTCACCAACGTCACCGCAAAGAAGCGTTGGGACGCCGCTTGTCGACCAGCTGGACGAGGTACTTACTACTTGCTTTTATCCCAGGCTCAAACGAATTTTTATTAATTCTTTAGTTTAAGGTATGCAAGTGAATTACAGTTGAAAATGATAACTGAAATAACTAAATTACTGTTAAAGAGTACGAAATTGTTGAATTACTAACTATAAGAATAAATTTTACTGCTTACGTAAAGTGCAAAGATTTAACCGAAGATTTTATGTATGAAATTAAGAGTTGTCCGAAAGTTTTTCACGCTGCAATTTTTTGTATAAACTGTGCATGCACAATGTAAATTTACTGAAGCAAAAGAAATTAAGTGATCTCTGAATCAATTTTTTTCCATTAGAAAACCAAACGAAACGAAAGGTTAAAGCCTTTAAACACCCATAAGTCTGCACTATTTTTGTAAACAGATGTACTTCCAAGATAATAGAATGATTAGTCGAAACAGTGACATCGACACTCCCATTGTCTATCAAAAGTTCGCCGTCACATAAAGATCAGTACTGAAGTTTCTTAAGCTTATCAGATTTTCAGTACACAGAGTTTCTTGAAAAGTTCTCAAGAGTTCAATCACAGTCTTTAAAATATGATGGGCCAATGACCTGGCGTGGCTTTGCTTTAAACATCTAAATGACTGGTCAACATTTGGCCATAAATTTATTTGTCCGAAGTGTCAAAAATATGTTCGACAATATTTTCACCGAAGTTTATCTGCTGAAAATTGTTCAACTTAATGTTTGAGAAGACTTTAAAGGAATTTTGAGATATAATTGAATAAATAATCAATATCAGTTATCGCAAATGCACTATGGAAAATAATATTAAATGCCACAGCTGATGATATTTAAGTAACCGTGTTTTGTTTTAGATAAAACGTCAGCTCACTGATAAGGAGAAACAACTCGACATGGAAAAGCAAGTCAGTCAGCAGCTCCGTGCCCAAGTTGTAAGTGTTTAATTCATGACTTGTTGACGTATTTCTTGTAACAGTGTGGCGTGAGGATTTCTTAGAGTAAGAGCCACCATGTTTGGTGTTTGTAAAGGGGCTGCTTTTTGGGAAACCTTCGAAGGGTGGATACAATACTGAAGCAAGCTTTTAAGCTGTACATTCTGCTACTTTGCGCAGACTGATTTGAATTTGATTCTCTGTTACTCCCAGCTTCCTTCTCATTCTCATCACACGCCTGTTTGTTTATGAAAATTAGCCTATATTCAACAGTATCAATGATGATCAACTCAACGAGATCATTAACATGAAAGTCAACCCAGGTCGAGTTTCTCCTGGAGCTGAGCTTCACACCATGGTTTTGAGATGTAATTTGTGGTTAATTGACTCTGTTTCAAATAAGATTTCCAGCCCGATGTGAATTTCTTGTCTATAAGGTGGCCCATTACTTATTTACAATTAAACAAAACAACAGAACATTAGAAACGCCTATTTATAACTTCCTGAATGCAGGTTTGTTAAATCTTACAAGCAAAAATCAAAATAGTAATAGTCTCGAATTTCGAAAGAAATAAAATTGTCAGCCAGAGATTATTTGTCATCTTGGCTCAAATAAACTTGGGCTTATATTTTAGGAATATCCAAGGTTGGTTGGTCTTACGTGGACGATTTTACTATAAAACTCGCCCGATTGAATTTTCTCGTGTGAATGTTCTTTTAAGATTGATCGTATGACATTCTTACGCCGACACTATACTGTTTTTGTTTAATTTTAGGCCGCCCTCGCCTCCGATGCAGCCCATGGCACATCTGTTTAGCAAACGGGTCAATATTTGCAGTGATTCTGTAGAATAATTTGATTTTATAATAAATTTGGGATATTAGTTTTTTCTTAGAAATGAAAGTTTTAGTAAATTTCTTATTTGGGTCTCAGAATTAGAACCCCCCCCCCCCTATCTTCCTTTTAGACTTCCTCCAATGTTTTCTATATGTCTAGGCAACAATAAATGTGAGTTGTTTTAGTGTTCTTCTGTTGGAACTTTGCTTGTCACATACAATACTTTGTCTAAATGCAATTTCGCTTGCAATTGGCTTTCCTTCCCATCGACATTTTGCACTGTATGTTCTGCAATTGTGTGATCCGACATTGTTTTACTTGTTGCGTTTTTGGCTGTTGAAATATTAGTTTGTAATAATTGGCATTGTGGACTCGAATCCGTTGTTAGGTTGTTATCAAATGTGATGATTTTTTCTTTCTTGATTAGACTTGATGCTAATCCCCTTCAGAAAAATTTATCTTCAACATATTCGGTCCTTATTAACGAAATCGTGAAAGCAAATATTCTCGTAGCCTCATCTAAATTTTTTTCTAATTTATTCGACCAATTCTAGTCTGTAACAGGGCTATTAACGATACAGAACTTCCCAATTGGTTTGAGTTTCCCAATCTGGTTGTCAAGTATTTTTTCTGTTTCATGTGCTGTAGCAGTTGCTTACGTTATTTGTTCTAGTTCAGCACACATAAGATCTTCCATGCAGTGTATCTTGAACAACCCCCCGATATTTCCCAACATCTTACCTTAGCTCCTAATTAGAGTCGTGCTTAATGTAAACAAAGAAATTCAATTTTTCACAAAATACATCAGTTCAATCCGACTTTGTTCTCTTTGGGTTCTTGTCTAACACCCTGATACGATGGCAAATTGATATAATGTAGCCTTTAGCGAATAAAAATAATACTCTCTTATCGGGCTGGTCTTGTTTTAAGGAAGGAAGTGGGCCAGATCCATAGTTGAACTCCTTTTATTCATTCTTCTCGCATCCTTTAAAAGAAACGTATTATTTAGATCTCAGTATTTTACTAGACCAAAAAAGAAGTTTTCTTTTCTGAAGACTGGAAGACAAATTTCACAATTGATCAAGAAAATAAGAGTTGCTCACAGTGTTTTGTGATGATCAACTTGCTTGTTTACTCTCATATGGTTTTGCTTGGGAGGAATTTCCTGCTAATAACATTTCATATTCAGCAGATACATGAGCAATCCTGCAAGATATCAAAGGGAACATTTCAGCTAAACTGACAACCAAATTTTCAGCTAAACTGAAAACCAAACACCGCTAATCGGGCGTTTTCTCAGAGCTACATTCCCGGCCAAAGTGCTTTGTACTCCCAGCAATTTTCATTGCATTTTATATCTTTCATTTCTTTTCCGAAAAAATTAATACTCTACCCCTTCTCTGTGTTGTAATGCTGAATATAGAAGAAAATATCATCAAAGAGGCACAAAAGAAAGTACTATTCAACCAAAATTTTACACATCCCATGCTTCCTGGCGTATCATTTAATGAATGTTCGAGAAGGTTAAAGGATTTTGCTTGTCTGAAACAAATAGCATTGTGGCTGAGTCATCTGTGATGTGTTGGGGTTGACTTGTTTCAGTTCGAAATTGTTCCTGTTATTTTGATAAAGGAAACGAAACGAGATTTCTCCACAGTTATTTATTTCCTAAGCCATTTTCAATCTTGTAGTAAATTACAAAGATGGACCATTAATTTCGCATTCATACTTAGCCAAGTTTAAAACTATTCGTTTTTGACTAATAAATCCTATCTTTATCCGAATGAATGTATTTGACCCACATAAATTTGATTTGATGTGTCAGCTTAGATTTAATTGCCCTTTTTGTTGCAAATTGATCAAAGCATCCGAAAGTCAGATAATTTGCTGGTTAGGACGATCGTTTAAAAATTGTTTGGTAAGCAACGGGAGTTTGTTGGATACATGGACATATAAAGCATGTTAATGTGGTATTGAACAATTTGGGTCTTTGAGGCGTAGAACATTTGTATGCAAGTAGAAAAGGAAGATCAAAGCCTTGGTCCACAAAAGAGTTGAAAGAAACAATCAATAGAAGATTAGAAGAAACGATCTAAAAAAGCTGCTGTACTAATTCACCAAATGCCAGACTACAGAAGTATGTATCAATCAATCAATCAATCAAAAACTTTATTTATGTGTCAAAAAATATTTAGCTTACAAGCTAATTGGGGACACGTATGATGAATTCCTTATGATTTTGATTTGCCCCCTTCTTTAATAATTTTTAAGAAATTGCCAAGATGTCCTTGTCATAGATAGTGAAATACCATACGGTATTTTGTATGCGCAATTTGCTTGAGCATTGAATACCTGTTTATGTGTTAAGGCAATATGTAGTCAGTAGTTTTTGTCAGTGAAAATTACAAGCTTTAGATATAATTTCCAAGTTTAAAAAAGTTCTAGAAACAATTTACCTGGCATTAAATTTCTACTCTTACACGTGTCATCAACGATTCTGTAATCTAATCTAGCGCTTTGCAAGATTCTCATACCTTTTGGAAGGTACAAAAGTATTTCCAGTACATAATGTAGGATATTGACTGAAATCTATACGCATAGAATCACACTTTTGTCAAAAGAGTGAAATTAAAATCCTAGATTGAAATTAATGAAAGATTAGAGAACTCTTAGTTCAGAATCAGGGAACAATTTTATTGGCAAAGGGAAAACGAACATGCAGAGCCAGTTTCTTTCTTCATCAAAACCAATAAAAAAGTGACATTCAGAAAAAACAAGCGTTCCATTTGAAATATCTCTTTTATAATCAAAGAGCCTTTTTCGAAGAATGAAATATTAACAGCGTTAGACGTCACGAAACTTTTTTAGAAGAATAAATTCGAACTGTGAGAATCACTGTCTTCTGCTGAAGCCGATTTTCTAACCAACAAGACAGAAGGCAGCAATTCGATTTGCATCATGTTACCTCCCAAGGGCCAATGCAATCCAAGAATTGAATACATTGTGAAGTTCTCCTAAGCCAGAAAGATGCCAGAGATTTTGTTTTTACATATTTAAATGATTGGAAGACGAAGTCTCTTGGAGGTGGGAACATTGTTATTCTACAAACGAATGCGTAATACTGGGTCATTTCAAATTAAATTTGTTGTAAAGACAATTGGGCTGACAAGATTTATCTTTTATGTTTTAAGTTCATTAATGAGAAAAAACTTGGATAATTTTAATTCAGAGAAAAATTTAGGTTGATCATCTAGGCTGGTTATTCTGTTTCAAACAGTTAAAGAATTCTGATAAACTCCCACTAATTGCACTGTCTATAAAAGTAGGCCAAAGAATTGACCACAATGAAATAATGTAAGGAGATATAGCATCAAATTGTCTCGTATAGTGCTTCTACAAACCTTAGCTCCAATAATCCATTCATACACCGTTGAATCTATGTTAAAAGGATAAAACTTTGACCTGCAATATATCAGCTTCGTTTCGAAATCATACAATCAAGTCACGAAGGGTTTTTAGAAAATGTTACCCTTCCCCTAACCAACCACGTAGCTGTAGATGTCGGCTAGGGTGGGCAAACCCAGGCATGAACCGTACCTGAGGGGGGGCAGGCTTTAAAACAAGAGGGCAGATATAAAACAAACAGATGTATTTGGGCTAAATCAAGTTCACAGAATTATAATTATGCCAGCTTTTCAAAATATCATTTGGAAAAAGTGTAGCCAGAGGGGACAAATTATTGTCAAAATTTTCAAGGGGGCACAGCCGACCCCCCCCCCCCCTTCAGCTATGTGGCTGCCCCTAACTTTTCTCTGCTCGCAAGTAGATGAATCAAAAAAGGTTCTTTGTTGGCTTTCAAAACATGCGATTCTGCTATCGGGCAGGATTTACTAGAATACCCAGTTAGTGCAAAACACTATAATGGCGACATGTTTCGGATAATTGGCAAAGCCCGATCGTCGTGCCATCTAGTAGTTTTGGAATCTATCTACATAAAGCACGAAAAAACCACTTTTGTTTAGACAAAAGTGGTTCGTTTTCACCTTAGGACTCCATTGATAACATTCTCAATAGGCAAGCGGCACTTATTGGGCAACTTCAACAGTCTTGTGCTCGCATTTCTGATTGGCCTATTTCGATCCACAACTGAGTTTATATATGTTTCCTAGCATAAAATTCTCTATCTATATTCTGACGTTTTAAACTCTGAAGAATTTCAGATGAAAAGCTTTAGTTAACTCAAATGTTTGCGTTTTTCAAAGCAATGTTTAATAACCTTGGGCAGCTCTTAATAGCATACCAAACACGCCTACCTCATTACGAGTCTTATGGAAACGAGTCTCATGGAAGCCGGATCTGATCTCCTTACTTCATTAATCAAGTGTCTAAAGAACTTTTAGTAAATTTCCTAATTCAGATGAAAAATTAATATCTGCAATGATTTTCGCTCTGCCGAGAACCACTTGAATGCCCTTTACTAAATAATTACTCTCGCTTGTCATAACCTTTTCGCTATCAAAGTGGGTACTTTGTGCAGCCAAATGTATGGATACATATGTTAGAGAAGAGCTTACTTGTTGATATAGGGTTTAACAAGTCTTACAAAATTAAGCCTGAAATAAGCCAGCTAATTAAATTAGATTATCGATCAAAAGGCTCCATTGCCCTGAGGTTTTCCTGGTTCTTTAACGCTTGATTAAATTTGATGGCACAAGGCTCCTTAACATATACCAGTCGTCAGCTCTGCATTAACCTATCTAGGTTTAGTTTTCTTGCTAATCCACATCAGAACAATTAGTAACGCGTATAGAGCCCTTCGTTTGCCAAAACAGAAAAAGCTACCTTGAGTATCCACCAACCCCTAAATGCTCTGCTCTTACCAATTACTGTGATATTATTGCATCTTGATTTGAAAAGTGGCAATCAGAGAACACAATTTAGTGTTATCAGATATACAGTAGTTCGCGAAAACGCAGCTGTGGCGTTACACGATACCGGATTGCTTTTCATATCGGATTGGTCTTCGCTATCCGATTTGAAAAGCATACCGCTTAGACTGTGTTTATGCGATACCGGACTGCTTTTCATGTCGGATTGGTCTCAGCTATCCGATATGAAAAGCATACCGTTTATACTGTGTTTACACGATACCGGACTGCTTTTCATATTGGATTTGTCTCCACTATCCGATATGAAAAGCATACCGTTTAGACTTTGTTTACACGATACCGGATTGCTTTTCATATCGGATTGGTCTCCACTATCCGATATGAAAAGCATACCGTTTAGACTGCGTTTACACGATACCGGATTGCTTTTCATATCGGATTGGTCTTCGCTATCCGATATGAAAAGCATACCGTTTATACTGTGTTTACACTATATCGGACTGCTTTTCATATTGGATTGGTCTCCACTATCCGATATGAAAAGCATACCATTTAGACTGTGTTTACACGATACCGGATTGCTTTTCATGTCGGATTGGTCTCCACTATCCGATATGAAAAGCATACCGTTTATACTGTGTTTACACTATATCGGACTGCTTTTCATATTGGATTGGTCTCCACTATCCGATATGAAAAGCATACCATTTAGACTGCGTTTACACGATACCGGATTGCTTTTCATGTCGGATTGGTCTCAGCTATCCGATATGAAAAGCATACCGTTTAGACTGCTTTTACATGATACCGGATTGATATTCATACCGTTTTCATCCTGTTTACACGACAACGCTCCGCTATTCATTGTGCACCATACTTCATTTTTTCAAACCCTCTGCGTAGTCGTGCGTAGTTAAGTGTTTTGC